AACTTCCACTGCTCACTCCGTAATGATATTTGTCAAATTATCAGTCATTGCATCAACACTAAGGCCGGTTTCCTCGATAAGAGCCGAGTATCTGTTTTGAAGCGAGGCTCTGAATTCCTGTACTTTCAGTGCTAGCTCATTGATTGGCTTCTTGCGTATCAGGATGTGATCACTGCTCCATTAAAATGATTTGCAAAGTGCAGCACCTTGTGAACTAATTCAGGTGTTGCAGGTGAATTGAATGAAGGAAGATACAGAAGAAAAGCACAAATATGTATAAGTGTGGTCATTTAAAGTTATGAATCACAACTACGTGTTATATGACAAGTATAGTTGTCATTAATTCACTATGCTAGGCTTTTGTTCACAAAGGCTATATCCTTCATTGGTTATGTTGGCATAAGGTCTTGGACAACTATACTCATCAGAGTCGCCACTTGTACAAGAGAGAGTTAAGACTGCTACCATGGCCGTTCAACGGCTGCATAAAAGATTTGGCTCCTTTGCGTCCATCTCTGGATTTAGAATTGATGTCTCACCCAGCAGAAATAATGAGATGTTTCTTCTGCAGCTATGGCTTGGGGACGAAGTAGTAGCAGAAGGCAACACCAGACGGGCGAAGTGGCCACTAAGCATAGCCATATTGGTTATGTTGTGGGGTTGTTCGTGTATTCCGTCGAAAGTACTGCACAGCACAGAGGTACTAAAACATGCATTGCTATGTCTAATACTTCTTTGTACATGAACGTGTACTCACAATTTATTTTTCATGGTTCACTACTGCAAAACATTAGTTTATATCTGCTATTCATTGCTGCAGCCATGTTGCATACAGTGAGGCTGTATAAACTTGAGTGCATTTAACCAGAAAATGTAAATAGTCACGGAAGTTCTAAATAAAATGCAGTGCATTTACGATACGTTTTCTCGCATGCAATTGTAGAAATTCAAAGCAACACCTTCTGAGAGGGGATCAAACCGCTTTGGATCTACTGCAATTTTCGTTTAGATTGACAAGTTTACAAAGCTTCTCAACATTTTTCGTGCAGGCAATAATGTATAAGAAGATTTGAAGGCACAGATGAAATTTTCTGGTATTGCAGCATAGCTGCGGCCATCACAATCAGCACCCTGTGGCACAACAGTGAGACATAATACCATATATGAAGCGGTTTTGCATTCGCGAATTTATTACACATTCGGTATCTGCGACCTCTTACGGAGGTTTTTTTTCCCCGCTATGTTCGATTAAACAACAGCGAGCAAACTTTGACCGAGAGAACGCCCCAGGCGCGCAGGGGAGGAGTGCGGGAAAAAGAGACGCGGGAGATGACCTCAGCTTCGGGATCTAGCCGGGAGTGGCGGCACCTGTCGGAGCAGATACCTACCACGTCCTCGATCTTCGTCTTTGTGGCCGGGCTCATTGTGTGATGGCCTCCGAGATCTCCGCCACATTAGCGATCTCTGTTGCCTAGCAGATCAATTCTGTCAGTTCGTAGAAATTTCGAGTGATTGCACCGTTCCCTTCTTCTGATTGGAGATTTTTGCATTTAACATCCACCATAGTTGTGTTTGTGCGGGGTTGAAGTGGATTCGCGAAGCCGAATTACTGCATGGCATATGGCTGCCGCAGCACTTTCGGTAGCGATGAGGTCGCTTTTAAGTTAGACGAGTTTTCTCGGGATCAGAAGATGGCTGAAAAATGGGCCGCTGCCGCGAAAAGGAAAGACTTCAAACCTAAGACAATAAGTGAGCTGTTCCACCGGCTTTCAAGCAGTCCCTGGTATTGACATTCAAGTGTACGTGTGCGACTGAACCGACGCGGTTCCTTCTGCGTTTCCGCATCTGAGGGCGCCCTCGTAGCCACGACGATTTGCCTTCGCGAAAAGAAAAACCATGCTCAGCTTACTGTGCTGCATCGCTTCATTCCGCGACGCTTACTTCGAACCTCGGATCGCGAGCCGTCACGCACGCAGACACCGTTCACCGTAGTTTTCCTCGATCTGGGACCCCATAGAGTTTCATACAATACTCCATGGAGGAGTTTTTTCCTTCCTCCATGTAATACTCTATGCGGGACCCAGAAGGCTGCGATCTCCTTGTTGCAGCGACCGTGCCATTCGATCAGTGACCGAATGTCACCAGATAAAGTAAAATCGTAGTCCAAGGTGTCTGCATAGCAGGGCTCGATCTAAATAAAGGCTTTCTTGATTTCAGTCATTGCCTGTGCGACAGATTTGACAACACTGAGTACTTCCGATTCCACACATTGTAAGCCAACGTACCGCTGAGAGGCGTTCATACCCCTAGCTTTCTTGTTCAGAAGCTGTGCCTGTATAGCATATTTGTTCTGGTCCTGCTGCTTATTCGGGCTCGTCAGGGCAGTATACTGCTGCGATTACTTTACGCAGAGGTGCGACAAATCAAATGAAGGTGATGATACTTTTATCTCACTGCACAGAAAAACAAACAAACAAAAAACGCAGGGCTGCCATATAAGTGTATAGGTGTTCTGTGATAAAATATCCCAGCGTGAATGTTCAGACACGTCTTGTTTTTTCATGTACCCTCCCCTCCTCCTTCCGCAAAACACGCATACACATGTCAGTATGTGTGGCTTTCCTCGCATGCTTTTTACCTGCTGCGAAGTACGCACAGTACTGTTTCTGCACGATGCGCGTACGTAGCGCGGACCGTGCCAATATACGCGTAAAAGCGAGTGCCGATGCTGCGGTTCCTTACGGGATTTAATACCGGCGGTTGAACGTATCACTTTTATCAGTTTACTACAGTGAAATTAAACACTGGCATGCATCTTCTACGTACCAGTCTGTTTACGACGTGGGGGAGGTTGGTTGGTTTGCATGGTTGGTCGGTTGTTCCTTGACTGGTTGAGACTCGATTTCCTGTACCGCATCTTTGGTACTGCGTCTTCGGTCGGCACTCTTACAGTGGTGATTGTCTTGAACATGTACGGATGCACAGTGCCAATTTTTATGAAAGGGAACACCGTGGGAGCGCATGGCCTTCGTGCTTCGGCGGCATCTGGCAGCGCGTTCAAGCGGGAGCGAAAGCAACCACAGCCTCTTTTCGAGTCATCTCGAGGCGAGAAAAACAAGCAGTCACTGGTGTCACTGACATGAAACCAGCGGCAAGACTGTAACCCCTTTCCCCTTCAAAAAGATTACGCAAGAGGCCAGTAATCGACTTGAAGGGTGAGGGGGTTGCAATCTTATTGCCTCTGGTTTCATATCGCCAATGGCTGCTTGTTTTGCTCTCGAGCGACGCGAAAAGAGGATGTGGTTACTTTCGCTCCCGCTTGAACTCGCTGCCAGCAGCTGCCGACGGAGCGCGCAGGCCACGCCCTCCCGTGTTCCCTGTCATAAAAATTGACAGTCGTAAGTGCGGTTCTTCGATTTTCCACTGCTACCCGCGGGGTGCCAGAGCGCACTCGTTTTTCTCAGGCTGCTCCCCCCCCCCCCCCCCCCCCACCATGGCACACTTACGATTGGCGTTCATTTTTCTCGGGTTGGACGGTTCTGGCGACCTGCGGGGAGCCCGAGGGATCGCCAGACGCTTCCACTACAGCGAACTCGTTATTGCAACAGTCCGTGATTCGCCATACTTGCAGCAAATATACCTGATTTCAGCCAAACACGGCATCGGCTGCCGGCGAGCACAGTTAGCCGACTTGGCTGACCTAGGCTTACTGTCCCGAACGTGATGTTCATAGAGCTTCGACCAATCACAGGCGGCAGTGGGATTCGCGATACCGGCTGAGATGCCTGTTTTTCGGCAAAATAAAGTGTTGGGTCATGCCAATTCGGGACTTGATTTTCGAGTTTGCCGCACGAAAGTAGGCATCATGGCACCATAACCTCGTTTTTTTAAAGTACTTCAGTGTCCCTTTAATGATTAGCCTGACAAATGCTGGAGAGCCATATAGGACCTCCACAAGTAAGTGGCCATGAGCACTCTGCTGCATTCAAAAGAATTCAGTACACAAGACATTGACTGTGCCATGTACACTGAGGACTGTCCACTCACTAAATATACTTGCATACCAGCCTTCCTGTGCTATTTGAGTCAGTGTTGCACATTTCATAGAAGCCTGCAGCTATGACAGCATGGAGCACTCAAACACTGCATACTGATTTTACACGGGCTTATTGAGAAATGAAGTCACAGGTGCGAAAGAAAAATCGCAACCAATTACTGACAGATTTCTTACTGTTCCCAAAGCTCAACAGAAGTCTGAAAGTTCAAAATTGCAACAGTGTTCCTGCCATCCAATAGGCTGTCATGGTTTATCAAAAGGTTATGGCACACAACCTCCAGGAAGCCTTTGCTGCATATAAATCGCATTAGAAGCAGTGTACTGATGCCCAAGAAAAGTGCTTTGAAGAAGTTTCGGGATATGATCTAATCAGATCAATAAATTCTTTTTTACCGGACTCGGTCTCGTTATTAACCGACACACCCTGTACACAATGGCAGGCCAGTGTTACTCACAAAATATGACAGTTACTGGGATTGCTACACAGCACCTCCACCAGAAATGTTGCATACCCAGTCCAGAGATGTTTTCTTCTACCAAAAGGTGTGCATACCAGTACAGATGCATCGATTATGACTGTATGTGGCAATTATGTTTACTTGCACGATGATTATGAATCACTAGCATCATAAAAAAATGAATATAATTTAGTGCAAATGATCCTGCACAACAAGTGATCAATGTGCCTTTGTGCAGGTGTGCACATTCCCACCGATTTGCCACCTACCGGGCCAAAATGCACACTAAACATGAAATATAAGTTACACAAACAGGTACTACTCATATTATGTAGTTCATACAGTATGTAAAAATACAAATTGGCCTAAATTTACATTATTTCATATTAGAATACTATGCACCTCGGAAGTGTTGAGTGAAAATCTCGACAGAGAATTTCTGTGGAATAAGAATTCAGAATCCATGCATAGTACGATCACAGGTATGCAAATAATAAACGAAAACTTTTATTGTCAACAAGCATCGACAGCTTCAATATGCAACACTAAAACAGCTACTCAGGGGAGCATACATCCAATGCACGACAAGGGCTTGAATAAAAACTCTAGCTGCCAAGTGAATTTTCATCCATAAGTATCGAGGCAACATGTCAATGCAAATAAACTTCACAAAATGTCGCAGAACACACAGTGCCAGCACAACTTCCACTGAAATAAAAAATGGTAATATGCTGTCCTGCAGGTTGGTCAATTGATGTGTAAAAAAGTCACTACGTCTGAAACATCATATAGTAAATTAAATTCTTGCATATCATCATGAATATATCTTGTAAAAGAATGTTAAAGGAATATATCACACAGACAAAAAGGCAACCAGACTGTAAAGCACATTACGTCGAGAATAAATTTTGCCCACCTCGTATTTATTGATAGGCTTTAATTGTTCACAAAGCATTTCAGACTTCAGAAAACCAAGCAATATGAATGGCTTCCTGAGGATCGTTTCTGTAGCCCAACATCTTGTGGGAGTAAAAAAAATATATTGTGCGTATATTTCACTCATGAGGCCCAATCTAGTTGTGCCAGCTGGTGCAACAAACACCAGCAGAAGGTGGTCCCCATGAAAAGACAGGATTTGTGCTAGGGCTTGTAGAAGAAAGCTTAAAAGTGCAGTAAAAAATGGAAGGACTGACTGCTGTGTCTTGCAACGTATAAGACCATGAAAGTGATGTGTTCAAAGAGGCCCAGCAACATTTTTCCAAGCAATCATTGCAGGACCTCATTAGTGGAGTTTATTGCCTCATGAATCAACTGCAGCAAACCTTCTCAAGATATATTATGTACAAGCAGAGTTACACGAGGATTTGTTACATGCTCTAAGCGGTTCCTGCCCCCTTTCACCTCAGTGAGCGCAATGAAATCTACACGTGGGAAGGATTACAAGGGGGCAAAAAGCTAAGCCCATATGTCAGCGCGTGTCGAAACGTTGAGCATTTTCTTTTTTTTTGTTTGCTTTGAATATTTGGCTCACTTTTTCGTATGATTACGAGCACGCTGGTAGAGTGTGGAGACGTATGTCATAGCACATTGCACCGGCCGTCGTAACTCCTCACAATGCTCATATCAGCGAATGGTCGTGTCCATGTTCTAGCTGAACCTGAAATTTATTTCTAAATTCGATGCTATGTGTTGCGCTTTAGTGTTTGCAGGAGTCTCGACTACCAATTGAATGCATTTTCTGAACATGTTAAAAGAGTGTTGCAGGGCCTCTTTAAGGAACTATGAATGCAGCGACAATCCTTTGCTCCATTATCCATGTCATGCATACATTATAGTAGTGTGGTGTAGGGCCGCAGCTTGACTTCTTGACAAGTCTACTGTGACTGTTAAAAGTGATATGTCACAACTTATCATGCATATCTCTCCTTCGAAGAATTATTATATCGCTATTTAGGGTAACACAATAAGAGGTCCTCATATTCAGCAACTAATCTACTGGCTGTGGCATTAAATTCCGTCTACTGCACTTACATTCTAATGAAAAAATGCATTTGCATGCTTGAAGTTGAATAATAGAGGACATCAAAATTAAGTCACCTCTCCAATCATGCAATTAATCTCGAGGTGTTACACTGTAACAACTGTCATTACTAAAATGGACAGCTAGTTGTCAGTGAAATACACAGTGTTACCTTCTATATTACACATGAATAAGTATGCAGATATTAGACACGAGATGCCTCATTTGCTCACCTCGTTTTATCTACAATGTGCCTAGGCAACTGCTGTCACTAAAGCTGCTTTTGATTTGAATGTCACATGCCATTAGCATCACATGCATGGAAGGTCTAATGCAGAAAACAGAAAGATGAACTGCAGAATATTTTCACTGCCAATTTTTCATACTCCGCCTTGCAAGCATGAGTGGTCCAACAGCCCAAAATTACACTTTGCTATATTCACCCAAATTTTATATGCACATTTCACAGAAAAGATGCAAGGAAAATAAATGCAGAAATATTATATTGTAAATAGTGCAGTAGTGGCTGTACTTAAGACAAGGTAAGGTACAGCATTATACATTACAGTGAAAGCTTTTAAAATATAATGCTAACAATTTTTAGCAGATGTACACTCAAACTTCATTATAATGAAGTTGCATATTAAATGAAAGTTTGTTATATCCAAAAATTCGTTATAAAGGTATATTCTAAACACTACATCTATTGCAAGACTATTTCTAATTTATTTCGTTATAACTGATATTTCATTATTTCTGCATCTGTTATATCAAAGTTTGAGTGTATTTCAATCTGAGTAGCTTGTGCATCAAAGACACTGAAGTTGTATATATGGGTGCTCATGTGCCTTGGAAATATGAGGAGTCTGTTCTGCCCATTCAGGTTTCAAAGAAACGCCTCTAAGGCTCCAGCTGTCAACGACTCCTTGCTGCAGCAACAGATGACACTGCAGTAGATTAGTGCTGTCCAGGTAATCATCACGAAAAAGAGCCTTGTGTTCACCACCAGACTACACACTGTCCTGTGGAGCTCCAGTAGTGCTTTAACACAAGATTAGCACATTGACTTGTTGACTGCAACCTAACTAAGATAAGTGCAGATAAGTGTAGAAAAGGCCTTCCAATCCTACATGTGCCACTTTAAGTTGCTACTGATGAGTACCAAAACAGCCTGCTTTTTCAGATGAAAAGCACGCACAAGGCTCAATCCAACCCGTGTATGATCTTATGCTTGATCTCTGATGAACTCGACAAATACGACAAGGAAATCCAAATAGACACGCACACCTACAAAATTTACCAACGACTGTGAACAACATTTTTGATGCGAGAATGTCCATTTATAGGTGAATATGCACAAAGACGTGCTTCTCCACAGCTGACACAGTGTTGGAATTTATATTTTCTAATTTCTTATCTGTACTAAAGTATCGCCAAACAAAATTTAGAATGATTAATTTATATTTGATACTTACATATATTGAGAATAAACTGTATATTTACAAAATTCATACCACTTGTAATGCATTACAAGCAGTTCAACAAAGGGCCTGTTTGACATTCAATAAACATAGTAGGTGCAGAAATGATGCACAGAACACAACAGGATGTCACAGCAATGATAAGAAAAGCTTTGAAATAAAAACTGTATATACAGGAAAGAGACAGTCCGAAACATAGACAGCATAGAAGGTCAGTGAGTTCAGAGTGAATCAATTACAACTGAAACCAGCTAAGAATGAGGCAAGATAAGCTTGTTTTTGCTTATATGAGTGGCAAACATAAGTATGATAACATGTGCCCGTTACTCTTCAGCACCGTTAGTTCCTGCTGGGGATGTTCTTAACCACCATGATGATGAACACAAGTGATGATAAAAGAAATCGTCCAAACATGGTCCACAGACATTGGCAAGACCAAACATTAACTCTTTTGCCACAAAAAAATTGCATTGGATGCTAATATGCATGTCCTGTGTATTTGAAATGTTTTACAAGAGGCCCTCCCCCCCGCCCCTCCTTTTTAAGACATCTTATACAAAGCACTGCGGCAAAGTTATAACAAACAAAAACTGTGCTAAAACATATCCATGAAGAATACATCAAAAGCCCACAAACATGTGGCCAATATGATCTTGCAAATAATTTAGCATCCAAATACATGTCAAGAGGTTCTTAAAACAGTTTCTGAATTCAAGAACACTTAACCAAATTTAATGTGAAATCTGATGCATGCACATAATTTAAGTTCTAATTTCAGTATATGAAACTAAGACAAGCTCAAAGGAATAACCAAAGTAGGACAGCCAATAAGCATAGAATATGTCAGTAAAATGCTTCATAAACCTTCTAAGAGCCTAGCGCCATGTTCTGGTACCTTGCAGTAATGTGTGTCTGAAGACACACCACATCACCTTCCATTAGCACTATACTGACATCAGTTGAATGCATTTTTACAGTGATTCTCACAAGGGAATCAAAAGGTGCATGCAGATAGGGCAAAAGGCATTGAACTCTTTGATAATCCATTTGCTTCAGGTGCATAAAAGTGCAAGCACGCAAATGCCGAAATGGTAAAAAAATGAGGACAATATCAGTTTCTTACATTTACACATTACTGCAAAAAGCAGGAAGCATATCTATGACATCAGGGCACAGGTGTTTCTGCACTAAAGTGGGTAATGCAATGGTCAGGTTCTGAGTACTTTCATGAAGCTTGAGCCAGAAGTACAGTGGTTGGGCAACACAACATACTACTTTTGCATGTTTGCATTTAAGCCTTGTTTGTTCCCACGATGCCTGAGCACATGTTTCACGTGCTTGAAAACTCAGGCTTTCTTGACAGCTGCACTGCTGATAACGTACATCCACCTGCAAGAAGATACAAAGTGATGGTTAGCTAGCATATCTATTCCAACCTAATTACGACTCGACCAAGTCCAAGTTGGAGTGATGCCTTGAAGGGGGCGCTGAAACACTTTTTCAAGTAACCATAGAATGAATTCAGTAGAATAGCTCACTGCTTCGGGAACTCAACGACGCAAAAATTTTAAGAATCCGTCCAGGGCAAGTGGAGTTACAAAGGTTTGTCGCACCCTGCAATTGCATTCTCTCTTCTCTCGTCCCAACGAAAGCGCTGGAAGCTAAGCAGGGAGAGATGGGAGGGGCAAACAAAACATGTCATCCGCACCTCGTCACCTTGAGCACCTTTTCTTTTTTTTTTTCTTTGAATGCGCGGCTTTTTCAGAGTGATCGCGCGCCCACACGTGGACAAGTAGCGGCCTTCCGCGTCGATCTCTGTAACGAGGGAGCACGCCATGTTCAAATCAGCTAATGGCTGATAGATGGGCTAGCTACGTATGATATTTAGGCATATTGCGTGATTTGTCGAGAGAAGAAAAAGCAATCTTTAATTAACTTTGATAATTTATTGTGAATTCCAGGACACGTGTTGTGCTATAATATTTGGCTCGCGGGTTGTCAGGAGCCTCTACTACCGATCGGCAGCGTTTTCTGACCATGCTCAAAAAAGTGTTGCATGGCCCCTTTAATGTAGCTTGAGGGAACAAACCCGCAAGACAAATGTTACAAAAATGACCATATGCTAAAGCTAGGCTTGGGTGAATATTCATTATTCCAGGATATTCAACCAAATGTTATACTATTAAATTGTTATGCTATACAACTCACATACAAGTCTAGTATCAAGATATTTATGGAACTTGTCAGCAATCTCGCACTGTTCGCACTAGGTGTATAGAACTCACCTCTGATATGCGTACTCGCTCTCTGCACGAAAGAAGTACACGTGGCTACGGTATTGCAGCTTGAAGACATGCTGTTTGCCCATCTGGTCCCCAGGCTGTGCCACTGTATAGCCCAGCAGTGGAAGACTTGCCAAGGGAACAGATTCCTATCAGAAGCATAGAGTTTCATTTGACTGGATTCTGAATGGAAGTGTTACACAAAAAGAAAATACCTAAATTGCTTTCAGAAGGGCCTGTTTATAAAAGAATGTATTTACTGTGACACAGGGGCATAGCCAGAAATTTTTTCAATGCAAATGCATTTCTTAGTCGGGGCATGCCGGCTGTCTGTGTCCGCGTGCCAGTAGGTGTTCTCTCTCCGCTCTCACTCCCTCTCCCATAGCAACAGCTGCGGGCACGCGCTTATTCTCCCCCCTTGCAACCAGAGCAGGTGGTGCGGGTAAAGTAGTGGAGAGTGAGTTGAGAGGAGGAGCGCACTCTGGCCTGTGTGGACACTTGCATCGTAGCTTCCACGTGTGTGGAGAGAGGGTAGGTGCAGTGCTTCTCCATTTTTTCTTTCACCGTTTGCTCGCCCTCCATTCTGCGCCTCACTCTCGGGTCCGCTCGCTCGTACGTATATATAAATCGAGTGAAGCGCACACCTCACTCTCTACCGTCCACTGGCTGATGAACGTGTAAATAAATAGTTATGGTATGAATCCTCGTCTTGCCATTAATTTATGCCACTAAAATTACTATGCCGTGTAATCTTGGTGCAAGATATGCATTCGAATTTCCTCACGATTCCCTTCGGCGAGGTGGAGCAATTTTGTTTTCTGGAGGGGGGCTAGGAAGTCATTATTTTTCGCTCTTTATGCCATGGCGAAAAAATTCAGAGTGGGTGGGAGGGGGTATGGGCTTGGTGTGTTACCCCCTGGCTACACCGCTGCAGTGCCAACTTATTTGATGAAGCAATGTACAGGTGCTCTCAGAATACTTCGCAACACCGAACACGCAGCCGCTCGCTGGCAGAGCACACCAGCGAATAAATACAGGCAAGGTCTGTGCATGCGCAGTACACCCAGTGAGCAAGCTTATCTCCCTTTTGCTCCATAAGGGTAGTGATAGGTGCTCTTCAGTGACAGGGCAACGAGGGCTGGGCAGACAGGGCCCGTAGCATACCGCAGACCGGAAGTGATAAATATGACGACTTGTCAATTCCTTGCAAAATGCTCTCACAATTGCTTACATCCATTCTGGCAGACTACGTGCCAGCAAAACAGCATGCCTACAATGGCATCGCTGCCTTTTTAAAACCGGATTAATCTGGTCTGCAAAGTATTAGTTCTTGCTCTAAGTATCTCCCAATCTGTGTTTCTATCTGCTTGGTTATTTGAGGATGATTTGTGCCATTACATGACCACTCCCTTTACAAGTGTGTCTCCGATAGCACCAATAAAATATTTTCAACAAAATGAAATATAACATGGCATGTTTGTTAAAGCAAATTTTATGCAGAGAAACTGATTTAATGCGTACTCCGATAAGATGTGCACCACTCCAGATTTTTTTTTTTCAATTTTTGCACCACACTTAGCAGTTCCCATTTATTTGTGCACCAATCAGTTCATAATTTGGGCTTCCTAATGAGTATTTTAAAATTTTGATCACATTTTATCGTTCGTTGTCACAAACATTCATTGTGGTTTGCTCAAAGGAAGTATACAGTGCTAGTCAATGATAGTCTGTCTAAGCTAAACGCAAAATAAATAACATAGTGGATATATATTTATAACAGGAATACCGCTCGGTTTATTTCTGCATGCAAAACAAAGGACAGAAAAGTAACTGTGTTTCTCCAATACTCTCATGGTAGTATGAGACGAAAACGCCGCCATTTGCCAGCACTAGTCACAATTCCCTTATGTAAATATTCTGATGAAATGATGAATACGGGCCAACGTAACAAAAGAAGAAAAAACAACGAAGCAAGAAATACACATCCATGCACAAAGGCTTATGTTCCAACGCGATGCATGCGCATACACAGTTTGTCACAGACACCAAACACCCAGACCCCCTTTCCAAAGCACTGAGGGGACACCTAGCACTATCATTTAGTTCCAACGCAATGCAAATCTAGGCACAATAGCAGCAGGTACCATGGACCTTATCGCGTCATAGAACAAACTTCCGCTGTTAACTACCTCATCGAACCCCTCACGGCCACTGTGGACCTGCGTCGCCGAGGCCGCGAAATCGTACATGTGAATCGCCTCAAACCATATCACGAACCACTTGTCCTCACGACACCTTAGAACACTCACTTGGCACGATCTTCAGCGAGGGGGAAATATGTAATGATGAATGTAGTGGGTCATGCAAATCTCGGCACACACACTGTCAGTGCTAAGCATGAGACGCTCGGCCCGGACTGTCGCTGATTTTGCTAGCTAGGCCTACGCTCCTACCTGGTCTCGGATAACAGTTTTGACTGTCTCCGTTCTATATTATAGGAGCAATGCTTTCTTTCCAGGGAGACCATGCACGCGCAGTCCATCGTACTACTTTTCTGCGGGCAAGCTCTGCAGGCGAGCGGCTGCGTGTTTGGTGTTCTGAGTTCCGAGTTATTCTGAAAGCACCTGTGCACAGACAAGGCCAAGCTCATACGAGCTCACGTGCCGCTTGCACCATCCATACCCATTTCATCATCATCATCATCAGCCTGACTACGCCCGCTGCAGGACAAAGGCCTCTCACATGTTCCACCTAGGTCCCGTGCTCGCCAATGCTGCCTCTTTATACCTGCATGCTTCCTAATCTCATCAGCCCACCTAACTTTCTGTCTTCCCTTCGTTTGTTTGCCCTCTCTGCAAATGACAGTTACAGCTAACGACCAGTGGTTATCCTGCCTACCTGCTAGGTGCCCGGCCCTTGACCATTCATTCTTCTCGATTTTGACTATGATGTCCGTAACACTCGTTTGTTCCCTGATACATTCTGCTCTCTTCTCGTCCCTTAGGTTTACACTTATGATTTTTCTTTCCATTGCTCGCTGCGTCGTCCTCAACCTAAGTTGAACCCTCTTTGTAATCCTCCAGGTTTCTGCTCCGTAGGTGAGTACCGGTAAGATGCAGCTGTTATATAGCTGTTATTGGAGAGCAATACAACAGCTTATGTGCACTTGCACTGCTTTTGACGGTGACTATTCAGTCACTGTTAAAAACAGCACAAGTGCATATAAGCTGAGTTATTGCTCTCCAATGTACGAAATGTTTCGCAGTTTCACAGGGCGTTTAGGGAACAGAATAGGGGTGTGCGAACAGTGTGAATTTCAAAAATGAACCAAATATGAGTTGAATAGTGATAACACTATGAAATGCGCTATGACACTGAATGAAATATGAATCAAATACTATTAGAATTGTTTTCGAATAATAAGGCAACAATTTTCAAAGCGGGCTGAGACTGGTAGGGCGACAGTTTGCAAACAGCCTAGCACTTCGAAAGTATTTTATTTGAAACGAATATTCCCAAGCTTTAGCAAAGAAAAATTATGATTACTTTCAACTGACAAACAATACAACAGTTATTGAGCATGAACTAGAACCTTATAAATATTTTGTAACATTTTATAAATATTCTGTAATATATTAGTGACTATACTGTTCAAGATGGCAGTTTATCCACAGCTTTTGAATACAACTGACACTTAGATATTATGCAATAATCATGAGTTAACATCATCACGAATTTCATAGTGAAAATAGTTGACTGCTGACACTGTTCCTTCAGTGATACAGAAGCTTTAATTAAGTAAAACACCTTCATCCTGTGATCAATTTGGCATCGATAGTGCCATAAGTATATGAACTGCACGCATCTGGATAATTTGATGATGAAAATAAAAAAGGTTACTCCTTGCTGTTCTGACGTCTCATTCCTGCAAGCATTTTTCATCGTTGCTGATTACCCAAAAACTACTAAAAAAAATTTCACATTTTGCATTATGCACTACTCGATTTGGGTATTGAATTGAACAGATTGTTATTCAATTCGTTATTCAAAATTTTCAAATATTCACACACTTCTAGAAGCATTTGAACAAGGTAATCATGTGCCACCAGATCATATCTTCAATCTTATCAAAAAAGAATATTTTCTCTTCATTTTAGTGGCCATAATTCCCTCTAGCAGCCACAGCAATTATTTTTCTGTTTCCCATAGAAAGGTACTATCATCCCAGCTTATGTGGAATGGAGCTTAATTTGCCATGAAATAGTGGGTGCCCCTCTCTTTTTATACTTGTGAAGGGATGGGCTTAGCTGCCACTCTTAACTTTTATCTGTCCCTTTGTCATCTCTCATGTAACACTCAGTCTCTCATCTGTCACTTTTAAGTGGATAGTGGGCGGTCTCACATTGTAGGAAATGAGCAATCACAGTTTTCACAATGCACGGGCAGCCTGCAATCCACGAATAAAAAACACTGAAAGAAGAGAGATGGGTTGAAAAGAAAATGGGAACTTTAAAGCAGCCCGTACCGTTAAGTCGGCATGGGAGGCCCACTAACTAAAGCACAATGCAAGGTGCACCCACATTTTCCTCTTGCCTGCTAGTAGTGTCGTGAATCACCTCTGACTTAAGCTCGTCGACAACACCTATGGCACATACATCGCATTTCTTTTCTTAACAAGGCCAATCCAAAGAGCAGCGCCCAGTGCCCATTGTTACACTACACCGGGTTGCACTCACAGGATGAAACCCAAAAAATGACAGCAAGGCAAGATGGAAGCTCGCAATAAAAAATCTGCACCCTTTCCTCCAAACCAAGTGGACTTGTCTTCTTCAAGGTTGAAGGATAGGCTGTGAAGCATATACCGTATTTACTCGCGCAATACTCGCACTCGCATAATTCTCGCACCCCCCACATCGCCCAACAAAAATACGATTTCTTTTTTTTCCTCGAGTAATTATCGCACCCCCGAAAACTGCCGCAATAATGTCGTCTGCTCGTTCCAGCCACTGATGATGATAGCACGTGCCATCTGGCGCCATCTCTTAACCATCAAGCGTACTATTGCACGGAGATTCAATTCAATCCAAGCCTAGCCGAAGTGGCCAGTGCGCGTTGCGGCGTGTTTTGTATGTTGTGTCGGTAATATTGTCACGTTTCGAGGCGATACTGAAGCTACACGGCTTCTTTCAAGTTGAAAGTGATAGATCATGCACTAAACAATGGCAACAGGGCCGTCAGTAGGCCCTTCAGAGTCTACGAGTTTTGTGTTCGCTACTGGTGACAGCAGCTGCAAGCCACCAAGACGCTTGGGCCTGCCGTGTGCCTAAAACTAGGATTGATGGCAAACTTTATTTCTTCAGAAGGAAACTGCGGACGATTCTGTTAAATGGCCATCAGCCCAATACTGACGTCCTACGCTTACCTTTTGAGGGCTCCTGTTGAGCGACGAACGCTACCGCAACGTCCACAAGCTTTGCGTATGGTATTCTAGTTCTCGACTATTTGCTTCCACTTTTTGTGTCTCAAATAAATCTTGTCTTGTGTTAAACCTCTGCTTTTATTGTTGAGGTAAGTTTTAATTAGTACTTCTTAAAGCTTGCTGTTAGTTGCTGGTGTGAGAATCCCGATTTGCGGCCACTTTTGTTCTCTTTTTCGCTCTGTACGTATTCGTAGAAAGTTTTCCCCGCGTAATTCTCGCACCCCCCAACTTTGCATCGGTTTTCCGGCAAAAAAAGTGCGAGGATTATGCGAGTAAATACGGTACACACAAATGCTAAGGAAATCAGTTCCAGCCTTGAAGAAGACCAGTCCACATGTCGGAACATCGAATCGAGCACCCCCAGCCCTTCTTTACGGATTTTTTCACTCACAGGAGAGTCACTCAAACCGTATTTACGTGATTGTAACACGGCTACTGCTACAATGCAAGAAGTGACCTTTCAGTGCATCCAGGAAGAAGAAAAATGAAGAAAAATAAATAAATAACAGCGCGCTTTTTAAATGATGCATGCAACTGCAATTGCGTGCAATGTTCAGACAACTTAAATTTCAGTAATTTCAATAGATATTTGATTGTAACACTAAGGTTGACTTCTGGTAGCTAAAGTCTGGAAAGAAACTCTCATTACACAGGAGTAGATACAGTAAACGCGTTCACAAGACCTAACTCAAGAATCACAGTTATGTATGCAACATAGCCACAGAAACTCCTTCTCCTTTGTGGTGTGCCGAAAAGAGCCATCCTTTCGCAACAGCAGGCTTGCAAAGCCTATTCTGTGTTTCTTCCATTGACCTGACAGCTTCTGCTTCTCATGCCACCAAGGGCCAAGCACTTGCCAAAAGTTGGATGTTGCTGGAGCCAAATATACTTGTCGTTCATTGAGTAAAACCTAGTTTTCTGTAGCGCTGTAGATTGTGCCCTTCGAAAACAGGCAGCATCATGTTACAGGTATTACACTAAGTGATGGCTGATGTGGTTCTATTACTTACAAAACCTGGGCTCGCAGTGGCCGTTACGCTTGTGAGCATACAAATCATCACTGGTAACACTGTAGATCTCCAGCAACTCATGCACAACTCATGCCAGTAGTTCACGCACAACTGTAAAAATTGTTATTGGTTATTTTAGTGACAAACAAAAATAGAAAAGTTCAGATATCTTATTCTCTGGTTAGGTAACATGACAAGCGTTAGGCAATCACATGCACTTATACACTACCTGAAGGCAATATACAAGGGCTTATTGGTCAGTTGTTCACCCACTAAATGATTACGCGCTTAGTAACCCCAGCTGGCAAAAAAAAAAATAAAGGAGCGTTCCACACTTACTGTTGTGGCAACAGCACTGACGAACACTCCCACATTTCTTTGCATGCATATAGATACCCAATAAAGTGTACAGGAGGACTACTGCTGCCGCAGCTCAATTGGTAGAGCACTGGGTGCGTTATCTGAAAGTTTCAGGTCCGGTCCCTGCCGGCAGCAATTGTCTTTTTAACGACTTGATTTTCTTCACATGTGATAATTACTACAATACATTTAAAACAGTATAATTAATGTCCTTGTCTTTATTATCCATTGGTTTCAATTAAACTTGTAACAAGTGAGCCCTTAAAATCCTATTTTTTCATATATTCCCACCTGATAAGACTTGTAGAAGAAGAGGCAGAAGTTGCTGAACACCACCCACAGTTTCTGCCATCCACTGCTGTTTTTGAACTTGCGCAGAAGGTAGCCACTGAGGTAGTGCTGCACAACATCACATCCAAAAGGGCACTGATGTCTCACAACAGTAGTGGTGTTAGCATGATAGCTATGCGCAAAGGAAAACTGGAATGACTTGAACAATTAATAAGTGGCACAAGGACCATACGAGTAGGCAACAAGAGCCAACATCGTGCATCAACACCCAAACTGCTTGAACAACTATTTTTTGGACAACTATGCACGAACAATACAACTGCACTAAGCTTGAATATGCATGCAGCATTCATGATGACATTTTGGATGTCCATTAACATGATTTTGTTTATTAATCAAGCAATGATCTATTCTTGTCTAAGGCTCTGATATCACTTGTGAAGTTGCCACACTCCTTGAATAGCATGCAATTACCAGGTGGACTAGGAATGACATAATTGCTGAACTTCAACCGTGTGCTGGTTATCCGTCAGCAAAGTACACATGGGACTTGTGTGCTATATTACGTTATCATTACATTTGGGTATGTATGCTCTTTCCTTTGTCATGTCCTAATGATGAGTAATCGCAAGAGGAGTGTGGTGTGGACGTTGTTGACAGATTTGAAAATAAAGACTGTGAAGTGCGATATACTGTATGTGGCAAGCAGTACTCGAAGCCAGCGACAAAAACTCTCACTATATCACCTGCTGCATACCCACTTATTAACGTGCCTAAGAGTGATCCTCCAAGGAAAGGTGGTCATGACGAAAACGACAGACCCCTTTCCTCAAGCCACGGATGCACCTTTTCAGGTAAGTTATCAGTATCTCGCTATGTAACCAACAGCCATACACCTCTGTGAATGCATATTACTACATATTTTTTCGCAATAAGCCGTGCCTGTTCTTCTGTCTGAAGTCATTGGCATAGCTTAGAGCATCCCACGAATAGAGAACTTCGTCTTGGAAGCATAAAAAGTCATAAAATCACGTTGGCTGTAGCACTTGGTGAAAAGACTTCTCTCCTTCTACTATCAGGCATTCTACATTTCACATTGATTTGGCACCATTAAATAATTGTTGCCCCTCGCCTCTGCATGCTTATGAAGACTTCCTTCTGGGTTTCAGATTCTTTGGCTCGAGCCACTGTCGCAGCACATGGATAGCTTCAGAAAGCTGTGCCATGATCTTAGTCATTGTCTCGACATGTGCCCAATTGAGGCAGTGGTGTGATGCTGCAACTTCTAGATGATTCTACATGCTTCTTGTTCGTTTGGACACTGTTTGAAACACATCGGTCATGACCTCGTCATCATGTATGCTCAGTTGAAGCATCTGTCTGGCTGATACAATTCGACAGTGGCTTTAGTAGACGGTGGCAGTGCTTCTGTAACAGAGGTGAAACTGAATTTTTGAGAATTGCATGTGCTTTTATCAGATAGTTATTTTATTGTTGTCGCACTTATGGGAGCTTTGAACAAGAATGCATCATCTGGGAAGACATAAATAACAATTTTTCCAGACGAGAATTTTTTTACACAAAACACTGTAAGAAAACGAAGGCGATGGGATAGAGAAAGCGGCATAACAATAACTTGGTTTATAGCTCAAATGGCAGGAATTAACTTTGTCACAACTAATCACAGGCCAATAAATTTTTCATGAACACTTTTAGTTTTCTCCGCACTCTTTCACTCGGTCTATAATTTACCTTGTGCACATGCACTTGCTCAAGCTTGTTTGCCACACTGCTTGCCTGCTCATTTGAGGGCTCACCCTACAATGTAAGATGCAGTAGTGCACGAGACATGCTTACCAGGAATGCTTGCTGGTACTGGCATCGGCCAATGCTGGTGTTGCGGTGCCAGCACAGATGCAGTGTGGTGGTAGCATGAACTGGGCTTGATGCTGAGTTGGAATTCCGTGTGCTTTCTGCCCCCGACCTATCTAGCCGCTCATCTGATGAATCTGCAAGGATTCATGTTATGACCTTAGTAGATAAAATTGATAACAAAGGTTAAACAGTCCACAAAGGCAACCAATTTACGTAATATTTCAATACTTGCCTGCTTCTATACTGCACATGAGCCATTAAAGTGCGCCGATTTGAGGCAGGTCTGCCAAGGCCAGGCTAAGCTGACACGCAATGGGTAATCTTAATTTCTAACTACAGCCAAGATAACAAATATCAAGAAACTTCACAGCAACATAGTTGTGCTAGCATAGCACATCAATCTTCCTTTTACTGAATCACACAGAAATGCATTCAGGGAGGAGTTTGTGCATGGGACAATAATGTTGCATCCCTACATGATTCTAATGTGCACATAAGAGCTGATCCACATTTAATGCAACTAACTTGCCAACAGTGACAGAACAGCATCACTGTTAATGCTGGACGTACAAACACAGACAGTAACTGCGAAATAATTCTGCAGAAATGTTTGAGGAAAAAGGTGTGGACTTAAATCAAGTGAAGCAAGGAAGTTTTCAATTTCACAAACCTCTGTTTAACTCTTTCCAGCATGATGGTTCTCCCAGGTAATAACATTTTTTTTTGTTTTTTTTCCCCCCTCTTGAAACGCGTGAGCCCCGCATGTAAGATTTTAAATGGCACATATTTTAAGACATTTGGAAATCTGCCAGAGATGACACCACTTTGTTTGGGCTTCAACCTGACATGTTACGTTTGCTTTCTTTTGGCTGCTGTCGTCCTCAAGGGGTGCTAGACGGTGGACCCGAGATATTTTTATAGATAAGTAAGTATGCGCTGTTCCTACTAAGTTCATAGTGCAGGAAAGCATGTTGTATGAGAAGCTAACACTAAGGACCACAGAAATGAAAAGCTGTATTTTCACCGAAAGTGACCAGTAGACCCTTACTGCATGGTGGTGCCTTCACGTGACCACCTCATATCTTTTGAACTACGATTGGCAATTTCTTGCTTCTTGTGAGAAAATAATTTTTTGCAAAATATTTCATAATTTTTTCAAGAAGCCTTAGTTTCCTGTCAAAAATGGAGTTCTGTGCATGAAAGAGATATATGAGGGCCCCTATACTTCAATAAATATTGTTTATAGCATTTATTTACTTATTTATTTCAAAATATTCGCTGGCGTCTTATACAAGGCTATATGCAGGCGTAGGTGATGCATGAAAAAGAAACAGACATGGCAATACAACACAGACAAACATCTTGTGGAATTTCATTCACCATCCCTGTTGTCTTTCAGCTGGTTAAGGGGGGAGGCTACCCTGGAGACCGAACTTTTTTATTTTTTAAGATATCTGGATGAAACTTTCAGGGGTTGTTCACTACAATAAAACTAGCACAACTGCTAAGTTTCACGAAGCTGTGTTTCTTAGTTCCAGAGTTATTGAGGTTTAACTGGGTGCTTCACATGGGTGCCTGAGGAAGAGTCGTGAGAAATCCCAGGACATAGTAGAAAGCTGAAATTCATTGTGGTCATTCCTTGATAGCTATCCCAGGGCGCTACAAAGCCGTTTTTTTTAATTTCCCCCCCCAAAAATTTTCACGCAACTTTGAATTTGATGTAACCAGTAATGACCAGATTCATCAAAAATTAATTGTTTATTATAAATTAACAGCACCAATTTTCAAAAAAAGGAGCTTGTTACGCCCTTGCAAGGTCATTCAGGAACAGAATAGAAAAAACGGCACACAAATCTGATGAACGGTTTTCGAGTTTTTGCTTTCCTCAGCACCACAACTAGCAAAAAAATCCGTTCTGAGAAAACAGGCCGAGAAAGTTCAAAACACGTGTTTTCTTCAAAAAGCTCCAGCACAGTAACTAGAAGTGTCCTGGCGCACTCTTTTCTTCTTTTGCCTGGCCTCCATCTTCTCTTGGTGTCTTTTAGAATTCTTTTTTAGGCGTAAAGCGTCTTTTTCACGAGCTCGCTGGATGGCCAGATGACCTGGTTGAAGTCCAATGGAGTCCGATATCACTTGGGTTGCTTTGCAGCAGCCGGCATTGTAGCGCAGCACTGCTTCATGCAGTGCTGTTTCTACCGCGATCAAGGATGAGTGTTGTTCCTTCGGCATCAGAGACCACAGAATGGAGTGGAATGATTCTGATGCATTTTGCGTCTTCGCTCCCAGGCAGCGCTGAAGAAGCGACTTTTGTGACAGTCTTTCATAGATGGGCAGCATAGCTGCAGCGACATAGTCCGGTAGGCTGTGTTTGTTTTGGCTGTGGCTCACGCTTTGCCTCTGCAGCTCTATGGCGGCACCACGATTGAGCCCCCTCTGGGCAAAGTTCATGGTGAGGGTCCTGGTCAGTCGATGTGACGTGGTGATATGTTGCCATCACTGCACGCTGCATGGCTGTTAGGTCAGTTGAATTGTTTCTCAGGGCCCAACCATAATATCCTGTCAGCTTTTCAATGAGGGCTTTAGTCAGCTTCCCCTTCCCACTCAGTGGCTTATCACTTTTCTGCACAATGTTTCGAAGAGCACTTCCAATCCTTTTCTGAACATGGTTCAGACATTCTTCTTTTACAATTGGCACTAGCCCGTACACATTCTCTTCTGTGAGGGCAGCGAAGGTACGGCTGTCTCCGTCGGACACAAGAGTGGTGTATCGCAGGCCATGCTTGGATACAGACCGCCCAAAGAGAGTCAAGCCTGCCTCCACTTCCATGCTTCCCGATTTTGCGTCTGTGTTTTTCTGGCAAATGTGGTGCTTCTGCCAGCTTTCGTATGCTGCATCTCCAGGTTTGGGCCCTGTTTGGCATCCAAGGCAGTGGTTTGAAAGAACTACAGCATCCAAGATGAGACCTGTAAAGAAGTCAATTACCGATCCCACTCCGATCTGTGATGTGTGACCCCGCTTATGCCATGTGCCATTGTACACTACGGTGATGTCCTTGCAGAAGCTGGGGTCCATTTCTTTATATGTTTTGATCACTGCTGTGGCAGAATCAGCATAAAACTTCTCCAAAGCGGTGGCCTCTGGCTTCCTGAACGTCTCTTTCAAGTGCTTTTGAAACGTCTTGTGGTGAAGACCTCTGTAAGAGACGTTCATGGCAGCCCAAAAGTCATTAAGAGCTGTTTGCCCCTTGCCTATTTGCTTTATAGCCATTATGGCGCGGACATTTACATCGAAGGCCTGCGTGTCCTTTTTGCGGGGTGATGTCCATAATTTATCGACGGTGCCACAAGAGGCGCACACGACTTCAAGTTTTGTTGCAAGTCCAAGCTTGGTGCTCTCTCGGACAGTCATAGCACCTTTCAAACATTCTTTGCACACTGTGCGGCTGAGCACGACGTTAAAGATGTTCATTTGAACGAGCGAAAAATGTTCGCCCTCACTTGTCACTGCAGGTGCAAGAGCCGGCTGCATCAGTTGAAATTTCTTCTGCGTCGCCGGCGTAGACTCGAGTTCAGCGCGAACGGCGTCACGACGTTTCGCATTCGCATCGATTTCTTCCTTCGTTAGGAAACGCATCCGCAGATGAAGCGACGGTCCACTCACGCTCGATGGCGGCACCGATTCAGACGAAGTGCTGGGTCCGGCGATATCAGAAGCACTCGGTGTCACACTGGATGGCATCGATTCGGAGCACGTGTCGAGCCCGGCGATCTCGGAAACACTCGGTGCATTTGCGGCTCCAGCCACACTCGATGTGTCGGATTCTCGACTGGCGACAGCCGACAACACAGTTCCGTCGCTGCAAGCGTCTACGCAGTCGGCACCCGCAGCAGAATAGCGGAATTTCGATGATCGTACAAGCCGCATAGCGTGCCTCCGCGCACCGGACTTCCGCACTGACTTCGGCTTCGTTGCCGGCATCGCCCGCAACAACAAAGACGAAAGGCACAGAACTAGTGCAAAAAGAAAAGAAAAAAAAAAAAACGAGAGAAAATGATCGAAAAGATAGCACAAGGCGAAGAGCGGCTCGTAAGCAGACGTGAGCATGTTTACGCACAATCCTAAAGAAAGTGCACAAATAAAAGGGTAGAACCTTTCAGTGACACAGTCCTCGCATGGTCTTCAATAAATGCTATCACGTTGATTACTGTAGTGCACTCTTGTGCTCACAGCCATGCAAAACGGCGCCTCTTTTTCATGTCTGAGACTGCTCTGCATTTGGTGTACATTTTGAACTGGTCGCAATGAAACGCAACCTAAATGGGTCGTGAACCGCTTTTCCAATTTATTTACTCAGTTCATTTCCTCACAACTGAGTGCCACAAGAATTTTTTGAAGCTGTCAAGAACAAGCAGAGTTGCATGGGTTAGTCGCCTCTCGTTTGACGAGCGTGCCAAAAGCTTGGCAGGGAGGGATGGCACAGGGAAAAGAAGTTACATCAGTGCATATCATTGCCTCGAGTGCACGTGATGAAACACAATTGCTCTTTTATGTTATTACTTCTGTGCACAAGCGTGGTTCACTGTATAATGTTAGCAAACTATGGGGTGCTACACTGGCACTTAAAGGCACACCGTGGCAAGAAGTTCATCTGATCTAAACACTGCACTTGATTGATGTTGGTTATTGGCCAACAGCATGCTACCTGCTGTTCAGCGTTGAGCAGTGGGCACCGGCAGCTTTAAAGCAAGGGAGGACAGGCCTCTGTATAAAAAGGGTGCCTGAGAAAATGGCAACTTCGTGCTTTAGTTGTAAGCTCCTCTTGCCAAGCATGGCTGTAAGATGTGTTGCCTTATTAAGTGCGAGTTCATGACCCCTTTAGTAACTTTGTCGTGTACTTGAAAAGTTAGGCTTCATACCGAAATTACGAAATCTACAAGCACCTCACAGAAGCAACAAAGTGGGACATCAAATTTTTCTGTCAATATTTCTTCCCAAGCTTCTTTGCCCCACCTATGCCTACTTGCAAAAATGATTATGCTTACGGCAAGATTTGAGGCTGGTGTAGTACAGTCCTTTATGGTCTCGGGCCATCTCGATGCAGCCGCACAGATCGTGTATCCATCGCTGTCGTTCCTCCTCTGACCTGAAATTTTTGGATGAATTTTTCACATTGGCCCTACTTAGGGGCAGTATATGGTGACGCCACACACGCAACTCCTTTTCTCTATTTATGCATGTACAGTACTCACAGATATATTGCTTCAATTTATAGGGTTAAGTAATGTACATACTTTCATTTACGGCACCTAAAGTTCTTGTAATGTGAGGCAAAATTTTCTTTGCTGCCTTAAATCAACACATAAGAAAATTTCAAGCCTTAATTTCAGTATGCTTATCTTCTGCAACTGCCCTCGCTCCGTTGTAAAGAGAAAATCCCTCTCATGCGCTCTCACTCATCTTGACAGCAGAAGGATGACACTAGAGACTATTATCCAATGACATCCTGAAAAGTCATCGAGAATTCAAGTGAGCAAAGCATTGCTAAAATTTGTAAGGACAACAGACTTGCACAAGCGGCTGTAGACTCTTAATGACACTGTATACCGCACAAGACTGCCACTCTGCACGGTGACGTTATGTGTGTGCTTGCCCTCTACTTTGTGTCTTTTTCCAGTCGAGCGGTTACATCCTTAGTACTGAATATGAACCAACTAGCCATCATCAACTTATTGTAAACAAAAAGGTGGTGGTTGCAGGTTTATGTTATAGTATTTTGTTCATCTGTGTGTGAACAATATCACCAATGTTGACAAATGTAAAGTTAAGGAAATGCTGATAATCATTATTAGACTTATTTTATGCAGCGTTATTTCATTTCAAAACAAGCTACATTGAAAAAAAAAAAAACCAAAACAAAAAGAACGACAAGTGCAGGTGGTGCATTCCAACAGTTTGCAGCTGATAAAAGGAAAATGTAGCGTATTTACACAATTATACTAAGAGTCTTTTTCTGCACATAATCTTGAGAACATGGTTCACCTTATATGTAGAACCAAGCAACAAATATAATACTTTTTTTTTCTAAAGTGACTTCAAAGTGACACAGATCCTGATTTGTTAGTGTAAGAAGTTTCCTACGAGTTCAGCCAGTGCCTGGTAAGACACAAAAATAGAGACGCAGCACAAATGTTTTGCTAAAAAAAAGAAGGCAATTAAACTGTCTGAAGAAATGGCATGAGTCAGTAGAGGCATAGTGTTCTCAGCATAAATGAGTTTACGATTCACTAGTGTCTACAGTATATGGTAATCACATGTGCATCCCAGAGACCACGGCAGTTTACGGAAATTTTGTGGTTTCTTAAAAATGCACCCTACAGCTTAATTATATTCATGTGCTCACACTCAGCATTGGTGCCCCTTTATTTGAGGTGTAAGTCCAACTAGAAACTACAAAAACAAGCAAAAGAGAGCCAAAGAAAAACATTTGCTTTAAGATAAATCATGCTGCATCAGTTACAGTGGGAACATAAGAATCAAAGGCTGGCGATTACTAAAACTTTACAATTAAACTTCTTTTATCCTAGGACAAAAAAAGAATGCAAGAACCTGAACAACATAGGAGAAGCTCATTGCACAGAATGCTTGTATAACAACTGAGGTAGCTTACTCATTTTGACAACCATGCTGTCAAAGATAGCCGAGTCACTTACCCAGCAGCAACCATGAGGGCCCGGTTAGCAGCATAAATGGTAAAGCGAAAGGCTGCCTCAGCTTTCGGCTCTGTTTCCTCAACCATGAGTCCTTGCAATGGCAGCTGTCCGTGAACTTTGAACTGAAGCCGCGGCCCAGAGGAAGAGACACGGCTGGCATAGACCAGCATGTCGGAGAACTGTACGTGCGTGCACAGATAGAACAGCAAGTTTTTTAATACCAATGCCACATTAAAGTCAAGTAAAAGCACAAACACGACAGAGCAAAGACTGCATTCCGAAACTGGAACTGTATTTCCTGCTTATAGTTAAGCACACATCCATTTATAAAAACAATTCATTAATGTGCAATTTGATCCCAACAAAAGACACTGCAGAAAGACAAGGGCTAAGATCTAAAGTTGAGGCTATTAGAACACACATGCCTGACCATATTGTTGACCACAGTCATGATTCTTATGGTTACACGTAAGTCTAATCAGCACTAAAGAACAGGAGAATGCGTCCAAAAAATGTTAGTCTGTCACCAGAAATGCCAATTCTAAGCCCACTCATGAAGTGTTTCAAACATGAACAGCAGCTCACAGTTAAAGATCACTACATTCACAAGATTGCACTATATTATCATTAAAAACCAAAAAAATGCCTGCAAATCACAGTTACATGTACTAAAATTGCAGTTGTGGCATTGGCAACAAGCAATTCTCAGAGCAGGAATCCCAATGATAATGTGATTTCCATTCCTTCCTATAATCACGCAAAAAAGAAAAGAGGAAAAGAAAGCGATGCCACTGATTCGTTGGCCCAACAGCAGTAGCTTTAACAACACAACCGATTCACGGCTGTTGACAATGGTAAAGGTAGACAACTCATGGCTATGATAAGTCAGAGAAAGGCTGGACTGCACACACACCAGGAAAAACATTCTCTGCTGGTAGCCCTTCCTGGAAAGTTTCTGCAAGCATCCTTCCCGCACGAATTCCTGGAAAAGATGATGGCATAATGTATTAGTCAACGAAGTTGATTTTCTGACCACTGTGCATAAAGGACACAGGAATTATCAAATAAGTTACTGCATCAATCTTCAACAAAAATTAGAGAAGCAATGCATCACATGATTGGGCTTGTAGATGTTTCAAGGGAAAAAATTCAATGCTATTCAAGGTAGTATTTCCTAACTCCTGTCAAAGGTTTTGATTATGATGCATTTCATGGTGAAACAAAGGCACTTTTATCATTTCTTTCATTCTTCCTTCTTTTCTTTCTGTTTTTGTTGCTAACTACCTACCCCACTCTGCCCTCCCCTGCTTTGCCCTTTCCTGTCCTGCCTTACCTACCCGCACTACCCTTCTTTGCCTAGTAATGTTAAAAGTTGAGCAATACGGTGATGGTTAATGTCCACAAGTGAAGCTGCGCACGGAGACAAGGCACAAAAGAAACAAAATGAATGCAGTGAGTGTCCTGTCGTTTCGTTGCTTTTGTGCCTTGTCTACATGCACTGCTTCACACATATATTTACCTTGCCTAGTAGCCTACGCGCTGGTACTCTCGTAGTCCTCTCTCTAACTTGGTATATATACCAATATTAGCACAGGAGAACCTCGGCATATGACCGAGATGATTCGCAGGTCATAACATGACCCCTAAACTTTCCTTCCGCATACGTCATGAAATCCTTTTAACCAGCCATGTGTGGCACATACTTGCCCATGACGTTCCATGGTGTGCAGGCATGCACTACAGGTGATTCATAGTTTATCAACCAACTTAGAATAGTAAACTGAGCTAATCGGTATGGATTCATACCTAGGGCTGTGCAGCGCTCGCAAAACATTATGCACGACAAAGGAAGTGCACACGACATGCACTGTTGTGCACGCACAACAAGTGTACCCCACAGCGTTTGACATGTGCACTTCTTTCGTTCTCTGGCAGTTTTACAGCAAAAGCTGGTATAAGATTACAAGTCGGGTCACGCGCAGTTGTCCGCCGCCGCCGCTGCTGCTGCCCGTAACCACATTGCGCGAAACTAGAAAAAAAAAACCCTAGCACCAACGACACAGTGGTGCCAGCCCAGTATTCTACCACTGAGCCACACTGGTGCTAGGGACTTGTAGGCAAACTTGCCTTAGACAGGCTTAATGTCGGGAAATCAATCGCATTAATACGATTTATAAAGCGTTTTAAAACAGCAAAAGAACAACCAGTCGTCGCACAATGCGAATAGCGTAACGAGTGGGGTCGTCCCCTACTCCAACCGATTACAAAAGCTTGTTTTTGCTCCCCTATTAACTGTGGCATATACCCAATTCAGCCATCATTCCTCATCGTCGTCAGCCATTGCATGAACAATTGGCACAAAATTCTTTGCAAGTGTTTAGCGGATACCACGCTTCTCAGAAGAATGACGAAAAATAGCATAGCGAATGCCGGCCTACTACCCAAACAATTTTATTATTACTGCCCTAGTGGGTATCAAGCAAGTGTGCCTGCAGTAGTTACCCAATGAGCGTTTTGAAAAGCTCTGAAAGGCCGCTCTTCTAGCTTTCGCTATGACTGTGCTGCACCTTCCGTGCAGGCCTGGCTTTTTTTTTTTTTGTGAGCACGGCACAGTCCTAAACATACATCAACCTAAACTTTGGAATTCTTTACATGACAGCGGGAAAGAGCTTGTGCTGCAGATGATGCATCATGGATGTCGTGTTTATGAACGAAATATCCCAACAGATGATAAAGGCAGTGCTGCAAGGTTCAAAACGCAGAAAACAGAGAGGACACAGATAAAGTGCACCTAACAAATGATTTATTGAAGCAATGAAATCAAATAATAAAAATCATGGCTCTTACCAGAATCAACACCAGGCATTCTGCATGGCAGTCAATTATTATATCTCAGAGCGATGCTGGTGCTTCAAACTACTTTGAAAAGGGCTTTGTGCATGCTTTATGTTAGGACAATGCAAATTGCAGTTGAAGAGTTGGCTATCATGGTCATGCACAGTTGGCTATCCATTTCCATATCAATGCAGTAAACTTTACATATATACATGTATGACTCCGCAAGCTACAGTCACACCTTGCATTTCTGTATAGGTACGCACATCATTGCACCACCGCTTACCCTTCGTGGCAATAAAACTCACATTCCTGCTTAACTTGAGTGCAATTGTTAAATTGAACCATGAGCTACCCTCTACACTCCTATGTAACTGGTGTGCCTGGTAAGCCCACAATATGAATACTACTAAATTTTCAAAGACGTTGATCTACCTGATAAAATTTAACTACATCTTGACTGCTTTGCATGGCATTGATTCCCACAATGAATAGAATATGCCGAACTTTATTCCCAGAATCACTATAAAAATGTCACCAAACCACTATAGACAATTTTATCGCAATAGCAATACAAAAATTACGTCAGAATTATTCAGTCTTTGTCACCTCAAATTGCTAACACGAACAAATGTCGATAATATTGATGCAGATGCAGGAAATTTTCTTGCACGTATTAGCCTATTAGCCAGGCAATATTCTTAAGTTTTCCTATTTTACTTTCTGCAGTTTTCCACTAATTGTTAGACTTCACTACAAGGTGATATCAAAAGATGCTTTTGCTTTTTGTAAATGGCGACACTGTGAGAAAAATTAACAATGACTGTTACAACTTTCTTTTTCTTCTTCCACAAGTTTACCATTTAGTATTTGGTTGCCCAGAATCATCAAGCTTTCATTTCTGAGCTTTGACACAGATTAGACTTGTATCAATGTAGACAGCAGCTCAGCAAATATGTTGAGTCAGCCTCTTCAAGTGCAAAAAGAAACAAATAGAAAATGCTGCACGAATACCAACCTACAATTATGAAGAGGTTCTAACCTTGCATTCTTGGGCACTAATTGACCACATTAAGAGTAATTAAAGTTACTAAATGTTGCCTTTATGTCTGCTTACAACCACCAACACCTGTGACGTTACAGCCACATGTACGGTTGCTGCTCGGGTGAGTTTATAATCCATAATCATAGTGTGTATTAGGACAGCACAAAAAAGAAAAAACACAGCACACATGAAGAGACACTTAGGCACTAACCTGTCTCTGTCTGTATGACAGAGACAGGTTAGGCACTGTGACAGGTTAGGCACTAACCTGTCTGTATTAGTATGCCATGTTTCTTATATGTGCCATGCTAGCACACGCTATGATTAACGAACCTGTTTATCTTTTCAGTGTGACCGCATTTCTCTAGCTAAAACTCCTACACATGTTGTCACTTGGCACTGGCCATTACTGAATGTACTGAAACTTTTTCAAGCACATTTAGATGTTTTGATCAGCTTCTGTGCACAATGCAAGTGTTTGAGCTCATATTGGAAATTATGCAAGCACCAGCAATAACGCTGCAATGTATCATGGTGCATGAATGAAGCCAACAAATTTTATAAGCAAAGCGGATTATCCATGACCCATGAGTGTACTGGCTGCTATCATTGTGCCGCAAGTATTTGCTAGCATCACAACAATACACTACTATACCCCATCTACAAATTTTCTAAGGTAAGCTTATAATTTTATTATGGTGCACTACGCTGCACCCGTAAAAAGGAATTGATCGAGGGGCCTGTTTTTGATAAATGCAATGGCATGAAGTCAATAGATGAGGCCAAGGAAAGTAACTTGTATTTTTTAAATAAAACTTGGCAATTATGATCTAGTCTGTGAATATTGCAGAGAGAAATAAAACTGAGAAAGGAAACAACTTTCCTTTGATGGGGCTTACACCGGCAACCTTCACACCATGAGTGCAGTGCACTACCAGATGTGCAGCAACGGTGACCGCAATTCCATATTCTTTCCTCATTATTTACATAAGTGAAACAGGTGTGATTGTGGGTTACACTCTAAACTGGTGGCAAGCTATTTCTTCATCTACTCTCATTCCTCTCAAAATTGGAATGACTACTCTTCATTAAAATAGAAGTTACTTCCCTTGACTTCATTACTCATTGGCTTAACATGTTTTGCCAAAGAAATTTTCCAGCCACATAACTGGACTTTGCTGTTAACATGTTTTGCCAAAGAAATTTTCCAGCCACATAACTGGACTTCGCTGTCGTAGTGAACAGCACGTTTTGTACAAGTACAAGTCTTGTGGAAAATGCATAAATAAAAAGCGCACCCTGCCAGGCTGATTGAGATTGTCCAGACCAAGCAGGTCCCGCTCTAGTTCAGTCATCTTGATATGGTTCTCCTGTTGGGAAAACAGGCAGAGTCTTCAATGGCAGTCACAAATGGCTCGTTTATTTCTCAGTCGACTCTTCAACAGCACAAGAAAGGTATTCCTAAATGACAGCACTAGCGCAATGTAGCTACTAAGCAACGACAAACTATGATCAGTTTTCATTAACTATGATCAGTTCTTATTAGCAATCCAGCAATTTTAAAGATGCTACAAGGAGTTTACCACTAATTTTAACTAAAGAAAAACCAAGGACATGGTATGAAGAAATTAAGTTCATGAGACAGACAAAATAGAGAGCTCTGCTTCTTGTTTGAAACAACAAACTGTAGTGAAGAGAAATGCTATCTGACCTTTTTCTAAGCTACAAAATTCAAGTTAATGCAAAGTAAACCTTTTTCTCTCACATAATTAGCTATATAAGTTAATGCAAAGTAAACCTTTTTCTCTCACATAATTAGCTATGTAAGAGTATGCTTCAAGATAGCTTGAAATCCCGATTCAAGTGCTACATAAGCATTTTTTTCTTACAAAGCCCCCAGCTCTTGAATAAGAAAGTAAACATTATTCTTCGTGTAATAAATTACAGGCGTCGGTGTTAGAGCAGGGTTATGCGAGGAAGGGCTCCCCAGGCCATCCCAGTAGTAGTAGCCCAAGTGTTCAGGACAACATTGAGATAATTTATTTATGGCATTCAATTCATCCACATCAGTAGTACAGCTAAAATGAGCAGCGGGTAAAAAGAGGCAGACAACACTAACCAATCTGTGCAAGGCCTCCTTGTGGCAAGTGGTGAACCTCCCGAGCTGCTGCAGCATTTCTGCATGGGTTGAACATGCATGTGCCAATATGCTCGAAGGAAATGCACAGAGCTTACCTTGGCTACAGGCAACGTCAGCATGGTTCGGTGGATAACAATTGTGCAGCCCTGAAAAAAATAAAAAGGCATACTTATATTAAGACGTGTGGTAGCAGGTAGCTCTCTGTAATTTGCCACCTAATGCACAAACAATTATGTAATAACAATTCTGGCACGAGCGTTTAACTAAAGGAACACAAAAAAATAATGATAAGCTTTGTTCACTGGCACACTTCAAACTCTCAGCTGCAAATCCTGATTTCACACTGATTCCTTTATTGGCCTCCTTCTTTCTGGTATTTGGCACATCATCTATGTGGTCTGATAAATTAAAGTTTGTCTTTGGACAAAATAATGTGAAAACTGTCAAAATTCAAGAAAGAACATCAGATGTTTTTTTCAAGGAAAATTTTATGCATCCAGGGCAGTTAAAAAATATTATTTTCATTCATCAAAGTACAAATTGTTCAAAATATTTTGAAAAAAAAAAAAAGTTGTTTTGATTCCACACAACATGTGTAGTAAAAGGACATAGGAATCCAGTTCTTGTGCACACCACTTTTGCTGTTACAATTTTCTAAGAGGCCATTAGAAGCAGAATGACGCACACTCCTCAATGCACCTAGGCTTACACAGCATGCATTTTTATCATAAAACCAGTAACTTTTTTCAGAAACCTGTAAAACCGAATTAGTGCTTTAAATTAACAACACTTGTATAAGGAGAAGTGCTAGGAAGGCAGAACACTAGTTTGTTCCCAAATTAAAATATGTGATGCTGCCATGAAATAATGCAATTATGGTCTAACAGCAGTGATATGTATGACTAAAGACAAAATAAAAAGACATGCCTTCTGACTGCTGACATAATAGTAAGTATGTAATAAATACACAGAAAAAAATGCATCTTTCAGAATAGGATTTTGAAAGCGTGATTACTCACATATTTTAAAAATTATTTCCAGGTCTTAAACGTTGCTTTATATAGACTAAACGCGTATTCCTACTGCATGAAACTGTTTCACAGAGTTAAATCGCCATTTTCGCGTATTCCTACTGCATGAAACTGTTTCACAGAGTTAAATCGCCAATTGAATTACTAAAGCCAATATACAATATGAGAAACCAACAATAAGGTAAACCGCACATGAATGAAAGTGGATCAAGGAGCAATAGTATGGCTACACAATAGTCACCAACACCCACATTTACTAGCAGTAACACACTGATGCCATCTTTTACAACTTTTGCAGCGCTCTGAAAGAAACATTCAAATACTCCACAACACAATCTATGCTTGATTTTGTTCAGCACAAAAGTTAACATCTGTGGTGAAATTTTCATATATGAGAAGAAAGAATTGCAGAGATTCTAATGTACAATATTAATATTAAAGTCATAAAGGGGGAGTGCAGAACATACTTTCAAACAAGGAACAGTAGTGAAATATGCGGTGCACTGGACGCAGAAGAAACAGTGACAAGGGCAAGTAGCAGTCCCGCAGCAGCTCAAACTCTCGGCACAACTGCTCGCAGTGTGGCCCCGTGTACAGGCGCTCCAAAATGTGGGGCAGCGCCTCCAGGTACCGCTCATCCAGCTGTAGATAGCATGAAATCAAATCATATCAAACAAACCTCACAGACAGGCTCAATAACATGCCCTTTGCACGATCTTAGTTTGCTAGTTTGATGTGCTCATGTGCTATGGAGGAGGGAGGGAAAACAGCTAGGTTTGCAATGGTTCACTTGTACAGTTGTACCCCAACCTTGTTTTTGCATTGCTATGGTACTGCAGACACACTAAACCTTCAATATTTTCATTTTATTTTATTTGAGAAGACAAACAGTTGGTAAACACCCCATCCAAATTAGTATTAAAGTGTGATCTCACATGTGAAAATTTTACAAGAAGGCGTTAACGTACCAGCATCTACCAACTGCTTGCCCTGCCATTTCACAAGGGCCAACTCACCTCCAGCAAGTGTAAGTAATCCAGCATAAGTGCACCAACACCTTGAGCAGGGGGAGAAACCGTCTTGCTGTCCCTGCAAGGTACTGAAGCTGAATATAGGTGTACAAATAGAGGAAGTGCAGCCAATAATCTTTGCATCAAAAGTTGGTCAAGCCACTCATGACAAAGTCGCATCGATGCATGAGAAAGTCGATAGGTGGCGGTGTCAAGAATAAAAAATGAAGGAAAGGAAGACACAGACTTTTCTTAAAAAACGATGTATAAGTCTCCTGCAGTCATAACATTGTTTTACAGGTGCTACAAGCACTAAAGCATCTACAGCAGTTGTTGGAAAACTATCACAGCAGCCTTGTCGAAGTTGTTGATTTGCCGGCCTTCTGCTACTTACTGTGCAGTCTAGGACGTGTCTAAAGAGGAAGCTGTCACTCCAAGTGCAGTGCCTAGCAGCCCTTTGCAGAACTAGTCATGAATGCCACTTTCGTTTGGCAGGAGGGCCGAAGAATGAATGGGCAGATATAATGGTGTTGTGACCCCCCCCCCCCCCTTTTTTTTTCTCTCGCTTCAAGGAATCCTTCATCTATTCCACTGATCTACAAGGAAGGCAACTATGGCAATACTGAGGACTGCTGACTTCAAGATTAAGAAAGCACAGCATGATATTTTGCTTTAAGGGTTTCATACAACTGTGGGAAACCATGCTACATATGCAGTAACTTAGAGTTACTGAATATGCTCCCTACAGGAGCAGAACTGCGCATAGGTCAACTATCTTGCCCGCCGAGGCGTCCACATTAAGCTGAAAAGTCGCCGCTTCCAAATGTAGGAGCTGACGTGGCCCAGTGGCTCTGTGTGCTTTCTCGCTTGTTTATAATGTATCGTTGGTGCAATGACTTTCGCTTCGAAGAAACAGGAGAACTCGAACAAGCAATGAATTTAAATGAGACTGTTGCTATAACTTGTTCGATGACATATTCTACTGGAAGTAATATCTTCATTCTATATAGCAAACAGAAAAACTGTGAGAGAGACGATTCTGAACGGATTAAGTTAAACAAATTGCTATTTTCGCGTAGTTCTGGACGCAGCACTTTAAAAAATTAGTAGGTAGCTTGCGGATTAGTAGAGAGCTGTATATATTGTATTATTAAATATTTACAAGAACACTTCCTGATCTATGTTTTTCCAATGATCATTCCATTAAATAATGGCGGTGCAGTTATATTTCCTAGTTTATGTAACTGAACACTGATACAAGTGCCTAACAAGATAAAAATGCTCCCAAATTCTATTTACTGTGCAACTAGTATGATTACTAAGATAGTGGCAGGTAGCCTTTCTCTGCGGACTGCAGAAAAAGTGCAGAGAATATGAACAAATCCTTTCATTGTCTATTAAAATCTCAAAACGCAAAAAAAGGCTCTGCATATAAGGTGGCTACCAATTAGCTATACCAAGAGGACCTATTACACTTCTTTAATAGAAAAGCAATTATGTCACATGGAGGGCATCTCACTGGAGATACAGACAAAGGAGTTAAAAGGCCGCTCATGTGAATTAGCGCAATGAGCTTTATGTACAGCGCATCAATTCAGAGTAGTTTTCAGGGTGGAATTGAAGAACTGTGCGACTCAGCTAAATACATACGTGACCCTGATTTCTCACTTATAGCGGGCTCTAACACGGTAAAATTTCACATCAAAAAGAGAAGCAACTGAAGATCACCAGGAAGCCATTTGCTGTTCAAGTTCGTGCAACAGACCACAGTGGAGCTTGTAGATGGGTGCAAGCAGTGAAAAAAGTGAGCCTGTTTCAGATGAGCCAATTTTTTCAGCCCATTCTCGGAAGGCCTGCACAAGAGAAGCACGCACAGGTTGGAAAATGCATCACAATAAAGTTGCAAGCCTCAGCTTTCTATGCAGTCACTCATCTCCGCAAGCAGCATATAACTGACAAGACTATGTCAGCTTATTAAAAAATAAGAAAATAAAAGGAAGATGTGTTTTTTTAAGCAAAGTTGAACATTTCCAGCTTTTGCATCTTGCACAACTTTTGCTGCTAGCCTCAAAAATAAATGCCTTTCAATTTTTTGAGGCAGAGTAATTCATTCAAGTTTTTGAAACAGCATAGTTCAATATATATACACTTGAATCTCATTATAACAAAGCTGCACCTAACACAAAAATAAATTTGTTATATCCGAAAATTTGTTATGAAGAATTATTCCTTATACTATATCTTTTACAAGACTATTTTTTATTTACTTCATTATAACCATATTTCGTTATATCCGCTTTCGTTATATCAAGGTTAGAGTGTAAAAGAATTCTTCGGTTAGCAATGTTAACCGAAAAAAATAAAAATAGAACAGGCTTTTAACGGTAGAGTAAACAAGTGACCCAAAGGGGAGGATGAGAATGTTTCATTTTGGCCATGAGACACTACAATCAAGATGACATGACAATGCAGAAATGGAATAGCCATAGAAGAGTTGTAACTGATTAACAGAAAAAACAGAAGTCAAGGTTGAAGGAGGGGGGGGGGGGGGGAGCAGGACTTATAAGGGCGTAGGAGGAGCATCTGATGATTAAGAGGGCCTTCAAAGAAACAGTGCACCTGGCCATCACTGAAGGCTCTATCGCATGATACTACCATTACTGATGAAGCAGGATCATATTATTACACCATAAACTTTGAATTCATGCTTAAAAATAAAGGATCGTAAAGACCCATACAGTTCACAAAAGACAAACAACCTTCAACCTTGGTAAAAAGATGTCTTTGGTTAAAACAATTTTCCCCAAGCAAATGTAACTCTTTTTTAATGCGATGAATTTCATCAGTTTGGAACCATGTATAATTCTTATCAATATCTATAAGTTAAAAAAGATGCATCATTTTAGGTGTCTTTCATTGCAAAGTATATCACGTACATCTTCTATTGTGAGACCACTTTAAATGTGTATAAGACACTAAAAGTGATTTTCTAAAATGGGAGACAGCTGCAAACTACGTTATGCAGGTAACTACAAGGCTTTATCACAGTTTTCCAAAGCTGGAAATTCATTATAAATATGCACAGACAAAACGAAGATGCGGCTATTCAGATTAAATAGCTTATGCTTGCACCAACTGTTGTGCGCTTTAAGGAATTAAGAAGGTTATAATCAGATCCAAATGCTTCATTGCCTTTAAGTCATTTCCAGTTGTGTTTAAATACATATTTTTCATTATTACAGAAAACTAATCTTATACTTAATGTTTATGTACAATGCCCTAAAAATGATGATCCTTAGCAATAGACCTCTGCGCAGAGAGTTACTTCTATGTGCTTCTATATAATAATAATAATAATAATAATAATAATAATAATAATAATAATAATAATAATAATAATAATAATAATAATAATAAAACCCAACAACTCCCATAAGCTACTCATGAATATTAAGTTTCCATGGAGCTGCCGTACTAGAAATAGTAATGAGCTGTAAGTTTTGCTTTGCCAAGATGAACTAAGAACAGCTTGAAGAAGACCCCAATTTCCTAATTAAAAAGCCTTTAAGGCAAAATTAAATGAAAAACTCATCCTGGTCTCTACCATTCAAAATTAGTCATTACATTCACATCTTTTTATGAGAGATAGGTCAAGTTTGAACATATATGGGCAATACAAAATCTAAAAAAAAACCCAATACAAATGGTGTTGGAGACTAGCGTCAGAGTAATAGTTCACAAAACCTATAACAATGAACTAGTCTGTACAGGCTAGTACCATAATGGCAGGCACGTTACTCATTACTATTAACCTTTTTTGTGCATACTGGTTGCTACAGCCATTGTAAATGCTATCAATGCAGGCTAGATTCGAAAGAGAGAAGCAGCAAAACACTTACCACCACCACCACTTCCAAGTCCTTCTTGTAGCTGCGTTCTGTCATCAGCAGCTCCTTGCTAATAAAGTATTCCAGTGGAAACATCTGAAATCAGAATGACAGCACATCAGCAGGCAAAATTATGTCGTGTGGTGGCTCTCCAACCAGATCAATTGAAATGGCAAACACTTTCCAATACAGCCATTAAATGATTAAGGGTCATTCCTTGCCAACTGTCCCAACCATGGCACTCCATAAAAATCACATTCTCCTAAAGAAAAAAAATTACACACATATGCACATTTCTACAGTATTTCACACCAGACATGTTAGCGACAAGTTTTTTGGCACAGGAGTGCCATTTGAGATTCTGAGAATGATGAGAAATCTGATGCGGGGGAAATAAAAAGCTATACATCAACCGTTTCATGCATTCTTTCATAACTTGTGTTTTTTTGCATTTTCTGAGCATCACAGTTTTATTATAGGAGCAGCTTTTTTTAATAATACTTCCGTCCCTTTCAATGCTTGATGAGTAGGTGAAATTGAAGTAGTTATAGCATTTTTGAGGTAGTTATAGGATTGTGCCAGTCAGTGCACTATCAAGACTTGTAGCTCTCTCTCTCATCTTTTTTTTTTTAGGGGCGTGGCGTCCTTGTGCGTCCCTCATTGTAGCTTGTGCGTCCCTCATTGTAGTGCGTAACCATCAGTGGCACATACCTGAAAGAGCAATCATTAGATTGTCCACTGGATGGCTGTACGTGTATACGAAGAATACATGATTAAAAGATGTGAGATGGCAGTACTTGCAGTGATCACTAGATAAACGGATGGAGGGATGGATGGACATACAGATGGACGGACGGGCTGATGGACGCACAGACGGACGGACAAACAGAGGGACGGCTGCACGAACGGACACACGAACAGACAGACAGACGTACAGACGGCCGGCCGCATGGACAGACCCGGTAACGGTCACACCGACGGTCACACAAATGGACGGACGGAAGCAAAAACAAATTGACGGACGGAAGCATGGACGTACTGGCGAACGCTTCGCCCCACTAATCATCATTCACTCCATGGATATGCTGCGATTTTTTTTTTTAACAGTAAAGCTGTTCTTGTTCGAGGCTTTTATGTCCAGCGACCATTGTAGTAATGAAATTTACTCGCAGAAAGTTGGTAAAAATCATCGTGGGTATGTGCCACTCCTACCACCACTCTCACTACTTCTACAATTCACCCACTACTGCCCCGGCAATTCTTTCTAATACAGTCACCCACTTCATGCCACATTATTCAATTCAATCCCACTGCATGCTACCAGATTTGCTGTCAGAGCTGGCTGTTTTTTGTTTTTTTTTTTCAAGGTGGTGTTACTATTTCTGTCATCTTTCTTATTTTTAGCACTGCTTTTGAAGTTAATTCTGGTTGCTCATGCATTGTTTCTTTTTTTTTTAGGCTCGAGTATGTGCATTTTCTGCTGTGCGATTTTCTTTTTTTTTAATATGTGAGCGATGCACAGCTTTTTATATTTTTATCTTTACTGTTACCATGAACTTTACTTTAAAATATTTTTTATAACTATTTTTAGCACTGCCTTTCCATTTAGTTTTATCTATAATAGCATTTTAAAGCAAGTAGCTGTGTTGGTTTTCTTTTCGTCATTTGCTCTATCCTCATTTCATCATCACTTTCAGCCTACAGGATAAAGGTCTCGCCTAATGGTCTTCACTTTACCTATTCAGTGCAGATTGATTCTGTTTTATTCAAGCAAACTCTCTAGTTTCTCCTCCAACTCTCGGCCTTCTTTAACTGTGCTTCCCATCTGTCGGTAACGATTCTGTTGCTGTCACAATCCATCTCTCAGCTGTCTTACGCATTATGTGGCCAGCCCAGGTCCGCTGCTTTTGCTTGATGCCAACTAGAAAATCCACTACCCCTGTTTGCTCCCTGACCCATTCCGACCTCCTTCAATCTTTAGGCGTTACTCTCATCAGTTCTCGTTCAATTGCTTGCTGCGTGGTCCTCAACCTCTTCTGCAGTTGCTTCATTATCATCCATGTTTCTTCTAGAACTTTCTGTATTAAGTGATAGTATACATTTTGCTTTAATGACAGTGACAAACTTCACCATTTGAGAAAGCCTGGCTAAATATTTTCAAGCCCATTGTTGTTCAGTGAATTTATTTTTTGTGATTAGGCATCTCTGTTATTAATTTTCCTAGGTATACATATTCTTGTACACATTTCAATGTACTGGTTTCCAATAATGAACTCTTCCTCTTTCTCAAGGCTATTGAGCATTATTTTTGGCTATATCACATGCATTGCTAAGCATACTTTGTAAGCTGTTTAAAGCCTACTTTCTAAGCTGTTTAAATACTTCTTCTGAGCAAGCAGCGAACATCAGGGATACTGTATCTCTTTGTCCGACTACATTTTCTTTGTTTGTTTATCACTTTTTGTGTGTGTGTGGAGAAGTTAGACAGCTGTGGAGTCTTTGTATTGCCGGCTCAGGTGTTAACTCAAGTTTTAGGTGCTGCTGGTTGGCTCTGTGCTTTGAAGACAGCTGGTATTTCTACTGAGTCGAAGGCCTTTTCATAACTTATGAAAGCTAAATACAAGGGTTTCTTGTATTCCAAAGATGTGTCCATTACTCACTTTACCCCATGAATCTGATCGATCATACAGCATCCTTTCCTGAAAACAGCTTGTTTTTTAGGTTGGTTGAAGTCAAGAGTTTTCTCCTATTCTTTTCGAACTTACCTTCATAAGTATTTTGTACATCACTGAGAGTAAGCTGATAAGCCCCTAATTCTTCATTTCTTTTAAGTAACTTTCTTGTGTATATTAGGGTAATGTGCCCCTTTGGAATAATAGAGAGTTGAGCAAGTTGGTAAGCATTCTTCCTAAAGGACAGGGCGGGTAAGCGAGCACAAGGAAAAAAGGAAGTCAAGACAAGGCAGACAGGTTTGTATGCCCTGTTTTATAGACTGCTCGCCTCCCCACGGCGCTAGTAAGAGGCTTTTAGGAAAGATGGTACTCAAAAAAAAAAAAAAAAGGTTTCTTTATTCTGTAGCCTAGGGAATATGAAATTTTTTGCTGTATACATAAGCTTTTAGGTTCATTTCAAATATGTAATCAGTTTTATAGTAAGATGCATAGTTTTTGCTTTGTATTATGACAATGTGTAAAGTATACTTCTTTTTAGACACACTATTTTTGCCACTACATTTCCATGGTTCTGAGCCATTAATGGCTCATAATGATCCACATTAACTTTAGAATGCAAATAATGATCAAGAAAGTGCGTAAAAATTTGTGCATGTCTGTCTCTTGAGAAATACTGAAAAGGTATCTAATCTTAGTGAAGCAGGTCTCAATCACCAGTCATTTGCCTACTGTTTTGTTTTTCCCTTAATTTATGTGAGGCAGTGCATGACGTACAACATGTGTACTACTTCAAACACTATACGTGCCAGATTCAATCCCTCGCCTCATGCGGAACCCACTACAACAGGGTGCGCCAATGCATTGGCCAAGTTTTAGCACAACAACAGCACTTTTTGTGTTGCGGTCACTATGAGGTGCCGCCATGAGGTGCTGCCTCATGCTGGCAGTGTGCCGGTCATTATACCTCGAAATTATGCGAACACATTTAAAAACAAAATGAAAAGATAATACTCTAATTCAGGATGCTCACTGATGTACCTTGTTTACCCCCATGTCACCCCTCTATGTGTACCTTCCAGCATACTTGTCAAGAAGAAAGAAGAGAAAGTGCTTGGGTCCCTGCAACCAATCCCTTCAACTCTGCTCAAACTTGACAGAATTGAGAATATTTTACAACAGAGATTTCACGAAGCAATAAACCCAGATAGTGAAGTAATTAAACGGTTACTTGAAGGGTTATAGGGCCTTTTAAAAGGCCTGTGCACTCGCTTCTGGTAAAATTAGCTCAGAAAGAGTGGAGCAATTCAATTTCATCATTTAGAACACTACTGGCCGAAGGGCACCTCAGTGCTATACAAGGATTATTCGGTTAATGCGAACTTCATTTTAAAGTAAGAATAGCTTGGCTTATAAACTTATAGAAAAGAGCATATTTGTAGCAGTATATGCACACTTTTCATGTTAAAAGCCTCTTCGTTGCTATTGGTGTACCTGTTTGCCTACTTGCTTCTCTTTGTTATACAGTAGACTCTCAGTAAATGTAAATCTGTTAAATAGAACTGCTGCTCAAATACCTTCAGGTTCTGTTTTTGAGAGTGTACTGTACTTGCCTCTGTCTGTGTGATAGAACAATGAGCTTAGCAGTAGGGCCACTGAGAATTGATGGCACTGAATGGAAGCGCTTGAAATCAGCAACTGCTAGATTATGTACAAGAGAGAAGTTCCCTCACTGACTTGTTCCAAAGTCTAATGGGATGAAGCAAAAGCACGCTATGCATGTTCGATGCCACTTCCTTCTTTTGGATAGTGTGCTGAGTTATTACCAAAGCTTCTCCAAGGTGACAGACATTAAACAGTCCCAATTACAGGCTGTATCTTGCTCAAGACATGCAATATACTACTGAAATGAAACATGTATAAATGAATCTAAAATTTTAGTCAACACAGTCAGTGACTTACTTGTTTAGCAGCCATACCGTCCACCTCTCAAGGAAAATAAAAAAGTTATGCCACTTTTACAGAGCAGCTGCTTGCTATATCACTAGAGGCCGGATTTATAAGCACTAAAAAACCGAGTTGTAGGTGCCAAAAATAGGCGGACAGTGTGTTTTATGCCCCCAAAATCGTAAATATAGGCACAACAAATTTTAACAAAATTCAAACTTTCCAAGAAATATGTGTGGGATTTCTGTCTATGACATGAAAGTAAACAGAAATGTTTTAGTTTATGATGGTACCAAGGCACCAACGGTTCAGCGAAGCCACTGCAATTTCGTTTCCTTGCAGAGTTTGTGGCATACAGTCTCTCTTCTCGGCATGGCGGAGAAGGGCACCACAAGAGCAAATAGCCAGAGCTCTATTAGCGCTCTGGCTATTTCACTAGAAGGGTATTTTTGCCTCGTATTAACTTGGTCTAACCACACAGGGTCAATGTCTCTTGTGTCTGCGAACACATCTGAAAGGGCCCTTCAACCTCATAGGTCAGGCGAACACACCCATGAGTTGACTCACACAGACTCGGATCAAGCCGTGAGTCCGAGTCTGACTTAGTCCCGGTGAGTAATATTTTTGTGTGTCCAGTTGAAGAAAATTTTCATGAGTGTGACCCCGAGTGAGTTCTGCTCAAGAAAATTTTGGTCACTCCGAGTCCGAGCGAGTCCAAAGTGCAAATTATACTTCTTGAGTGACTCAGAGCGAGTTTCACCTGGATTGACATTTCTACTCACACCTAGTTACAGGTATCCTGAAGCAGTGTTGTTCATACACCATTTCAATATTTATTATTTGAAGGTGTAGGACTACTTAGGGGGATGCCTTTAACTCCCCCCACCAACTCTTCCAGGGAATATCTTCACTATTATATCTCGTGATGTCATCTCTTTGAAGAAAAATGACCTTACCGGTTCGGAAGCCCTCAGGACTCTCGTTCGAATATGCTATGCCAAACGACACCAAGAAGAGCACCGATTACGTGAGATATTGGTGTAAAAGAGCATTGACATCACAATCGAAGAAGGTAATTCTTGGCTGACGGAGTAATGAGTCGACTCGACTCACTCAGACTCAGATCGAGCCGTGAGTCTGAGTGTGAGTGAGTCCGGCTAAAGAAAATTTTCGTGATCGTGAGCTCGAGTGAGTCCGGCTAAAGAAAAGTTTCATGATCGTGAGTCCGAGTGAGTCCGGCTCAGAAAAACTTTTGAGAGTAAGTTTGAGCGAGTCCAAAGCTCAAAATATATTCCATGAGTGAGCCTGAGTGAGCTCCACAAGTTTTGCCGACCTATGATCACCATGCTTGAGAATTTCGAGCAAGAGGAACGCATGCGCTGGGCGCTCACGATGTCATCTGCCAAGATTTAGCAATGCTACGCAACTTGGAAAGAGGTGAAATGTTAGACTGAAGGCCGCGTGACCTTATCTCACGGGCATGCCCCCCAACATGGTGGAGATGATGTATACAACAAGGAATGGTCCTTCTTACGCCAAAGTCGTACGTAACATTGCGAGAATTATTCGAGGCGACGTAAGTAATTCATGCAATCTGTTGCCTGAATGTGCCTTCATTTCGTTTGCGTTGGTGTTCTCGTCGTTCTCGCATCATGCCGGTGCCAGCATTCGCAATGCTTGGCATGTTTTTGGTGCATCATCTCTTAGAGCAGTTGCCACAGGTGCGATGCTATACATGTATTGTGGTAAGAATACATGGTCCATGCCAGTCTCTCGAAACGTGCTGCGCATAGAGGGATTCATGCCACAGAAACAGGCAGTACAATGCAGAGAACATTGAAACGACACAACACCGCTAGCTTGCACTACCTGGCATGGGAGTGTCATGCGTATGTAACCTTGCGTGCGCATGACGTGTTGATGCGTCTGCGTCGTGTGATCTTCCGGCTCCGAGTTGTTCCGATACAGGAAAGGGGGGCAGAATCCATTGTATAAGTAAAATTTCTCATGTGATCTAGTGAAGCGCCGCTAGAGGAGTAAATGACAAGCAAAAGAAAACCCGTGGGGACCATCTCTCTTTTTTTTTACTCTATGTTCCCCTAATGATACTCTGCGGTTTTGCGTTTCTTCTCCATCGTCCTGCGCTACGCACAGATGCGTCTCCTGTTCCCTACGCCGGGGAGATGTCGTGCAAACGACACGATGCGGATGAATACATGTGCAGAGACTAATCGGTTTTAAAAGGCCTTGTAGGCTTAACAGTGCTGAAAGGAACTTATGAGATGGAGCAATATAGGTTGCACCCCATAGGGTTCTGAAAGCTCAATTTTGCCCGGTAACATGAATACCTGTCTCCAACTGTACACGAAAGCAAAATTTAAGGTTAAATAGCATTCATATAGGCACCAATATTGACAATAGGCATTTACAGACACTTATAGGAATTTAGGCACAAACTCCAAAAATAGGCATTTGTAGGCACTATAAAATAGACCTCTAATTCATGGTTCTATATCAAAGTGGCACGATAGGAACCCAAGAAACAAAATAGACATTTGCCTATAATTCGGTCTCTACATATCACATAGCAGACATTTTCGCTCGATATGCAAAATCTTTTTTAATTTCATTTGTATCCTAGTCCATGGAAAAATGAAGCATAATAAGCACAGCATTAAGCTGCACTCCAGCGACAAGAAGACATTTTTCATGACACATTGGTGCATGTTTCTCAGCAGTAGTACACTACAATAATACAAGCTTCTTGCTCCATGCAGCTGCAGCATATGTTGTATAACAATGCACTGCTCTGCTGCTTATAGCAGTTCAAAAGTGTACTCAAAATGCGCTATATAATTGACAGCAGGATTTCATCCTGTTGAAATGCTTCAAAAACATTCTATTAGCAACTTAAGATGTAAGTGAATATGAGCCTTAATCAAAGCTTATCAGAACTTTTTATGCAACACCAAAAAAGTCGCATGGAAGAGCAACTAAAGTTGGTTGTGAAAATGAGTGCACTCTCACCACGATAATGAAGTTTACTGTTATGCTTGCATAAATTTTGCATAGCTGGCAAGATATTCTGAGTCAAACCACTTTTCGTTTTCCCATCAAGGACGTCAAGAAACTTTCTGACCTTTTTGCCGCCATCGCCAGCCAGGTCCTGTGTGAAGCAGGATGTTGAAAGCGTTCCGTCGTTGCTAACACAATGCAAATTGTTGTTGTTGTTTGGTGGTGACACTTGCTCTGGGCTGTGCTCTTCCTTCATGCAGGCTGTGCTCGGTGAAGAGCACACTGGCAAAGTTGTGGGAGGACTCAAATCAAGGGCAACTAAAATGGCAAAAAAGAAAAACAAGGGGGGAGAACTGCTTTTGGTATTACAAAACTAAAAGAAAAAAATAAATGTTCAAGTGACCAATTGGAAAAACAGGTGAGAGGAGAAAACAGGAACCCTTAATGTTGCAGCTAGTAAACAGTGCCTTTTTTTGAAATAGTTATTGTAGATGAATATTGTTTAAGCCACATACTGTAATCAGCATGCGATATGAAGTCGGCTCACACAAGACAGAGTAAAATGCGGATTATTGGGAGAGGCCTTCATCCTTCAGTGGATATAGAATAGGACTAATGATGATAATAATGATGTATTATTCAACCGACTTTTCATTGCCGAGGACTGGCACATTTTTAAAATTTAGTCCCAGATTCACACTGGCGAGTGAATATGCAGTTAGCCCTGGGGCATAAGTGGTTTGGTGTTTCTAAAAGACTGTGTTCTAAAGGAACTGTTTCTTCTTGAGTTTTGAAAGCACAAATATACAAAAAAGGGTTGCAAATAAATAAGAAGCCATCATTTCAGCTTGAGCGCATAGTTCCGAGTACAAATTAATAGTTGGGGTTTTATGTTCCAACACCATATGATACGACTATGAGGCACGTCGTAGAGCAGGGCTCTGAAAATTTTGATATCGTGTTCTGTAACGTTCACTGACATTGCACAGTACATGGCATTTCATTTCGATCGAAGCCTGACCACTGCGGTTGGAACCGAACCAGTGACCTCCAGGTCCGCAGCTGCACACCATAACCGCAACACCACCGCAGCAGACGTAGTTCTGAATACAGCATGACATGTGTTTTAAACTGGAAATTTTGAGAAAAGACGAAGCACTGTATTCTTGCAAAGATGGTGAAGTAGAGAGGTTGACCAGCCTGAAGTTTCGGTGATGAGTAAGAATCCACAAAGCTGCAACACTAAGTGTCCATAAAATGATATGTGTTTAAAAGCTTTTAAGGTGTGTCTAAGCACTCCATTTCATTGTGGAGATAGGATCAATATCTGCATATTAACATGTTTGCAATATACTACTAGTCCATGCCATGCTTGCATGTGGCATGGTTTTGCACTAGTATGTTATACTATGTTCTAGTAACATGGTTATTATGGTCTAGTAACAAGTTTGTAACAAAGTACCAGACCAACACAGATTATTTTGGCAATTAAGAGGTAAGAAACAGTGTGACAGAAGAAAGCAGAGACAAACCACAAGGGTAAACAGTTTATTATCAAATATGTTCTAAGTCAGTGGCACAAGAGGTTGCAGCTAGTTTTTTTCATGTACAGCTTGCCCATAGGAAACAAAAATTTTATTACCGTATCAAAAGGTTTCAATAGTAAAGCTGGCGACCTAGAATTCACAATATGCAAATTTACAGCATTCTCTGAAACTCTCCCAGGTGGTTGTTTCTCTAAAACAGCAAACCGAAGCGCTATGGGCAGTTAAGTAATCTATACCACTAATACTACTACACTGCAAAGTCATATCCATTGCCTATTAACAGAGACTGCCTTGACACGTTGAATTCTTACGATTAATGTAGCGCAATATTCTAAATATTCCAGCCCTACAAGCAATGTCATTAACAATGCCAGAAAAAACAGATGGCTGTAGAAGACCCGAAGTCAACTCTAACAAAGTTTGTATTAGATGTGTGGGGCAGTGGTCATTGCTCTGTTGTGCTTGGTGCCATGGTGATGAACCATGAGGCTTGACACCCATGGCAGTGTCATTGCGTACACAGAAGGTGAAGAAGGTCACAACAGCAAGCTTGAGTGTAACAGATGCGCTTTCTAAACAAAAGTGTGATAAAAGGAAGAGCTTAGAGCAGAAACGTTTCACTTCTTACACTGACGGTATACAAATGATGACCACGATGACGTGTACATTTTCCCAGGAAAGACAAGAGCAGAAGGAAATAAAAGCAGCCTGACAAGAAGTTCCTTTACTATCATCAGAGGCTACTGCCTTTCTTAGATAAAAGACCGGTACACAAAAATAAAATAATGGCAAAATCATAGTCAAGTATGACTCATGAACGCAGGTGTGGCCCTGCCCAAATAACTGAAGTGTGACGGCCAATTGCCTCCACCACTAAATAAACAGTCCTTGCCCAAGTCATCGGCTATACAACTCATCATGTCAGTCTCAGGTGCATACCCACTGGTGCAGGCTTGTACACATCTTCCTTTAAGAAGGAATGCCGCTGCCTTTTAAAGTTGTACACGACTATAGTTAGCAAGCTAAGATGGCAGAAAAGAAACTGAACATGCCAAGCAGGACATCAAAGCTAGGAAGAAAGTGTGGAAGTGTGCACAATACAGAAGTGTGTACAATACAAATCGATAATGCTACAGAAATGCCCAAGGAAATGTCTGATATAACAAACAACTGCCATGAGCACGATGTACCAAAAAGAGCATACTATTGCCTTTTTTTAAAGCATTGCTCTTGTCACACAGGCAAACATGGCATTATTATGAATACACTTAGCATTTTAAAGCTGTCAAATGAGGAGTGCAGTAATCCTAGATGCATCATGCACTAGACACTAGACAGCGAATGCTTAAAGGAGCAGTGAAACTGTAGTTGTAAGATTAAACACAAAAGCAGCAAGAAACAAGGAAATGAGTTTCTCAGCACATGTATTGTTCCAGTTGTGTTTCTTACAGAGCTCACTTTTAGTGGCTTTTAATGCTATATCCAATTACACCAAGTTCACCTTTTGTCTCCTGCCACCATCACAACATTCAGACCACTACACTGTGCAATGACACTGTTCTCTAAGACATTTCACTGTAGGCCTTTAAGCTGCATTTTCATTACAGTACCGTTAGTGTTACTTTACAAATAGCTACTAACAAGAATTTTATGTGATTTAGCAGCTACTGCACTCCAGTGTAGACTGCCAGCATTGGCTGTTAGTGAAAAATCAGTATTTCCTGTGAAAAAAAAAAACCCAATAGATGCAAATAATAAAAATCATGAGTTGAAATCGAAATTGAACCCAGGCCTTCCATGAGGCAGGCAGGTCTTCTGCCACAAACCCGTGTCAGTACTAGAAAATTTCAGGATAAAAAAATTTAAACAGGCATCATATAGATCGAGGAGTCACGTTAAAACATGTAATATTGCGTCGAAGATGCGTAGAATCACACCAGGATTCACACTGCGTGAATTGCACAACGAGTTAGTGATCTAAAGGCCTACACATTACAAAGCGCTCAAGTAATATTAATCCTAATAATCAGTAACAGCATCACCAAAAAGTGTGTAACTGTGTAGGTGGGTGCATTGAATGAACACGACGGGATTACGGAAGACGACCCGCGATGCCGTCCACCTATGGAACAACCGCAGGAGACAACCGTTCGCGCCAGTCGGCACATGCCAAAAGAGACTCGCCAACCTTATCTGACCGCCCACCTAACTTCGCCGCCAGACGTCACTGCTGCTGCTACCACGCTAACCATGATGATGATGATGATGATGGTGGTGATAACCAATGGTGAGCATAACGCCACCTATCGCTCGACGACTGTTAACTCTGACCGCGGTCTACTACTCACGGGACAATGTGTGCACCACGAGACGCAAACGATTTTACAGAGGGTGACAGCACCTCCACATTATTGCCTTCTGGATGTAGTGGTTGTTTTGCTAATTCACAAAATGATTGATTACGGCATAGTGGACACTATCAACTATACCAAGCATACATTCTATTACAGGTCGAAACAACTAATGTTATGCGCACAGAACGTTTTTTTCCTCATGGCACAGTTGAGGTGTCCACTAAGAAGCAAAGTCTTGCTAGCGAAGGAGCTGATACGAACAGGGCCCATTTACATAGTTGCACTATACACTTGAACGCGAAGCTCAAGTGTCATCGAAGCTTTCATTCATTCACTGTTCACTGGTAGGGATTTCTTAAAAAGCACACTCACTCGTAGCAGCCAGTACAAGGTGCACAGGACATGGCACAGCACTGATTGCCTCACAAATAAAATGCATGTCTGCCGACACTTGTTTAAACAAAGTGAAAAACTGCAGTGCAAGCTTAATGATATCTGAGCAGACTAGATAGATACATGCACCTCATAACTCACAAGAAAAAAATTAATAAAACAAAATGCCCAGTTGATAATGCTTCTGAGGCAATGCAGGTGCTCTGGAAATGAGTGATGAATGAATGAATGAATGAATGAATGAATGAATGAATGAATAAATAAATAAATAATATAAATAAATAATGGGGATTCATGAATACTTCTAACAAATCCAGAGGTATAGTAACTTGCTGCCCACATAGTTTACCAACACTACACAATCAGTGTTCATTGACCAGCTAGACTTCATGTTTCGGTTTTGAAATATGGCAACTGCTTGTGCTCTTAAAAAGTTGTGAACATTGTGGGGAAAAACACACACACAAACACACACAAACACACACACACGACTGCATACATACAAACACACATAGGAGAAGCGGGGTGTCTCCAGTGACAACTGGCAGTTGACGTAACCTGTTGCGTGCTGCAGTGTCATCCTCATCAATGTGGCAGCTCCCAGTTTTATTCATGAAAACTGAAGGGTGGTAAAATTTTCTGCTAAAGTCGCATGTTTATGTTTTCCCTTCTAGGCTGGAGCTGAATAAATTCTAATATGCAAACTACCAAGTCTCAATGACTCTACACAATGACACAATAACTGTAAGTGATGATTGAGAAATGCATATTTTCTCAGTATGATAGCCCACCAAATAAATATGGCAAAATTATTTCCAACATACTCAGTCCACAAAAATTCTCTTCGAATTTCGGCCAGACCCTCCTATTTGGCGAGATGTCCCGAAGGCCATCACCGAATACTTGCATGCCTACAGCATGGATCTGAGACATCACTGCCGAGTTTCACTAAAACCACCATTTTCTTCTTTACAAATGTTCAGTGGCCGGTCCAAAATTTCATCCTACCAGCATTTCCACAAAC